CCTTGGTTCATCCTGCTGGGAAGCGATTATGGAAATGACGATAAACGATCCTCGGCCGTATCGCTGCTTTTTCCATCATCCTTTTCATATGGAAATGATTAAGAAACTAAATGTTGTATTTAAAACGCATACGAATCTAACTGAGTGAACACAGCAGGAGGATCTTTTGCCGCCTTAACAAATCAGTGTGGTAGTATTCCTGATGCAAAAAGCTGTCATGAATTGAGGATTTAAGTGACCATGTTGTGCAGACCTTGCGGGTCCTATAGAGTAAACTCCTGCTGGACAATCATTTCTGCCAACATGTGTGGAAATGGACGTAGGAGAAAGTGATAAGGGGGATGGGGGGGAGCAGGCAAGCAGATAATATGGGTGGGATGAGAAAACGGGTCAAAAGGAGGAGGAGACTAGGCGAGCAGGAGAGAGGAATTACCCCCCAGGCTCTCTTCAAATTTGCCCTCAAGATGTGAGCATATTTCCCCAGTGCTGTGGCCATCATCTCTCTCTCACACACACACACACACACACACACACGCACACACACACACACACACACACACACACACACACACACACACACACACACACACATATTACAGCTCACACTCCCCCGAACTCTCACTGCAACATTTCCTAGCTTGTCTTTCTGGCGGCATTCGGGCTCCACTCTCCTCCTCTCCGCTCATCATAGGCTTGTCAAAGAACTACAGTCATTTGGCAGCCATCAACACCAACATGTCCATCAGCGCTCCTCTATTCCCACCTGAAAGTGTGTGGCCACAACATCGTAATACAAAATAGATGTGAAAACATTGTACAGCGCCTGTGGGCGCCTTGCATTTGTTTAAATCCAAAGCCGTTTTCTATTCTTCCTTTGCAAGGATTTCTTTGCTCTTATTCCACTCTGGCTACCCTTTTTTTAACGTGAAGCGTGGACGAGCTGCAGCCCCGCTGCTCGGCCCTGCAGTCGTATGGCGCTTTTCAGCGGGTCACCCTTCAAATTTTCCATTTGTCATTCTTTCTGGATCAGAGGTTCAGAAGATCAGAAGTGTGTGTGTGTGTGTGTGTGTGTGTGTGTGTGTGTGTGTGTGTGTGTGTGTGTGTGTGTGTGTGTGTGAGAAGGCAGTGAAAAAATGAAAATAGATCATTCATGGCTAAAAGCTGGGAAGAACCAATCAGCCCCCCTGCCAGTTTCCCAGCATGCACGGCTCTCTGGCTGATGAAGAAGCAAGTGCAGGCCAACACACAGCTGAGCCAATCCTATTATTTCCATTCCCATTTTTTATGCGTTGCACTATTGTCTGCTGTACTCCCTATTATGAGTGTGCACAGCTCCAATTGTTAATAGCGTCTTTGAAGTATACTGTACTAGCACTTATGGACGCATGCCAGACTAATGAAAAGTTTCCCATTGTTTGACCACTATTTCCATAAGTGCTCTGTGCGGTTCCACTTCTTATATTGTCGAATGAGCCGACGTATCTGTCCCTGGCCGCGCTGTAACTTTGTCCATTGTATCTGCAGTAAGACAAAGACCCACAATACCCACTGCAGCATCAGCCAGTTTCACTAGAAGCGAAGGTTGTGCCTGGCTTGTTTAAACCATTGTCGGCTTTTGTCTCCTCTTCTGGTAGCAAAATTAAACCCGCATTTAAACTAAGAATTTCCGACATTGTATATGTGCTAAAGAAAAGTTTATTTTTTATTGTGCCATTATTGCGTGTCTTGGCACTATTTTTTGCAGTCTGCGCTGCACAGGAAGAGGCTACAACATTTTTAGACTTAAGTTTGGTTTAGTGAAGTTTATTGTAGGTGGGTTCTTGATGGAAACTGCTGATTCATGTCTCTTATCTAAAATAGGCATAAATAAGCTGGGCCAACCAGCTGCTGGTTCATCTACTATGCTGACATCAGCGTATCAATCTTCCCATTTAAATCTTGGCAAGTAAGCCAGTTCCAAAGCAATTTCCCAAAAGCCTATTTGCTTCGTCTCATGAATTATTACAGATTATATTGGATGTTGATTTTTTTAGAAACTTTTACCATCAGCTGGTTCATTTAAGCCTCACTGAGAACTCTCTATTCATGGGAAATCTCATAAAAAGAGGTTTCCGTCCACCGAGTGTCCTCCAGACAGACAAGAACATTACTCTGAGTGAGGTCATCGTCCGACGTTCTCGCTGTTCGAGTTACAGCATCTCACCGACCGCGATACGCCCTGTGACCCGTAACCCACAGCGACGGCAGAGAGCAGGCGGACTCAGCTGTTGGCAAAGTGGGTCAGAGCAGCTGGCATCATCGCATGAATATTTGAAAAGAAGCCGCTCCAGAATGACACAACCGCGGTGATGCAAACTTCCTACTCGGCTGCTACGAGATACGTCACCCCGCACAAAGAGGAGGAGGGATTAAGTTGTCCAACGAGGAATGGCAATAAAGGGAGAAAATGATAAAGGAGAACATGGGAAGGAAGTACGGGTGTTACCAAACAATGGAAACACTTGAGATTGAGATTTGGAAAAAAAGAACGCACACAAGAACGTATATAAATGTGTGTTGAGAGCACTGTGATAGTGTCGTCCAGCAAGAGACGAAGAGGAGGGAGACACAGATTGATGACGGATGGGTCATCAGAGGCCAGAGAGATGAAGAACGGAAATAAACGTTGTAATTAACTCAACGCAGGGAAGTGCTGACAGACAGAGGGCCGACAGGTTGGAGGGAAAAAAAGAGAAAAGAAGAGGGCGCGGGGAAGGACAGACATGACTGCAGGACGGATAGAGAGAAGCAGGTCACGAGTAGAGACTGAGAAGAGAGGAGACATGTGGAGAGATGGATAGCGGGAGGGGAAATAAAGAGAAGAGGCAGCCGGCGTTCGGCTGCGTCTTTGCTACCTCTCTCTCTTCAGTTGACTGTCTGAAAACACACATTCGGGCATGTGCACGCTTGCGTGTGTGTGTGTGTGTGTGTGTGTGTGTGTGTGTGTGTGTCAGTGTGACTGACAGCTCAGAGCCAGCAGCCGGCTCCAAAAAGCCAGAGACTTCATAATAAACAAAACATGGTTTAATTTGCTCCTTCAGGCGAAGCGGCGCTCGTAAACAGGGACACACACATGCGCGGGTGACACACTGCAAAGCTACATCCTCACTAAATCGTTTGAGATTAGTTTTATAGGCTGTCTTCTACTCCCTTTTTAAAAAAAGAAGTGCATACGAATGATGATACGGCAGTTTTTGTGCATTTTCGTTCCATTCAATTTTCCTAAAAAAGGATTATTTGTACATCTTCATGAAAACTCTTCCTCTGACCCTGACTAAAAGTGTGTGTGCTGGACCTTTTCTGCTGAGAAGCGTCCCCCCCCCCCCCCCCGTCCACCCAGTAGGCCATGGTTGTCACAAATGTGTCCACGGTGGGACGCTGAGTCGGCCATGCCCGTCGTCACGGCTACACCAATGACACGGCTCGGATGCGGGTGAGCTTCCTGGGTGGCGGCTCTCATTCAGCCAATCAAGGCAAACAGGCCACGCTCTATTTAATGATTATCCCAGCATCTGTCCCCCATCTCTCATCTCTGTGTGGAAGCCGCCGAACACGAGCGCAAATAGACTCGCATGCGCTTGATTCTGCCTTTCATCGAGTGATTTCATCTCCGTTTAATCAAATCTAAGAAGAGCGAGAGTGCATTATAAACAAACTGTTCCCTTGATTCATTATATAGTTGGTGGAGAGTGTGGTTAATAGAGGATGAGATTACAGCAGCGGCAATTAATGCCAGTCCAATAAAATACATGATTACCACATTTGTAATGTAATCTCAGTTGTTATCCAAGCGTGAAAAGGAAAACGGCAATTCAGAGAACCGATTCTTCCATTCGGTTTGCTTTTGCTTTACTAGAAACCAGAGCATTCTTCCCGAAGCTCGGCACGGTGTATTGATTGTCATTTCCTGCACCGTTGTTTTGTGCAGAAAACACTTTCTTCCTGGTCACCTGGATGTGCTGTCTGGCGTCGTTGTTCAGGCGCTTCACTCTATAAGAGAATCCGCTCTGTTGTTGACGCGACCGAGGTTTGTGGATTCGCTCCCTATATCCACCTTGCATTAGGATGCAGGTGTGATTGATAAACACACTGTTTTCCCTCAGCTGTTAATCATGAGGATGCTGCGAGACTCCCCGCAAGGCGAAAAAAAAAAAGAGATGGACAACGCGGAGCGCCGGGGTGATGAATGTAACAACAGACAGGAGAGAGTAGTGAGAGGCGCTAATCGGGAGATGGAGGCAAAACTCTACCGGCACCGTGAGAGAAAAAGACGGGTAATATCCCTGATTTATCAGCCCAGCAGCTTTTGAGATGAATGAGAAGGAAGCTGTCTGTGGCCCGGAGGGTTGAACGCTCCCCATTGCACTCTTTGTCTTTGGTTGGGTGAAAATCTAAAAATGAAGTGCAACAACAATAAAAATGCTAATCGGAATGAGAAAAACAAAGATTGTTTTCACTTTCAATTTAACAGGCCACTTGATAGAAGAGCGAAAACAATCATTCTACAAAGTCCATTTGTTGTGATTAATTTGTATGTCAGATCCTGAGGAGCACCTTTTTGTCTCGCGCAGACGTCTACGGCTTATTGCTGTTCGAGTCAGACTCATATTTCTAAAGCCATCACTGTTATTGCATGTTATAGCTCTAGTGATTTCCCATGTGCGCTTTGTTTGCCTGTTAAACAAGCTTTAAATCTCAGCAGCCACAGAGGAGTAACAGCAGCAGTGATCAGCGACACCTACTCATCATCTCCGTTATTTTGTGTCGTGAGGAAGTGGCATATAAGTGATCTGACTAACTGATATGAATAGTTACACGTTGTTTGGTGTCGTGAGGAAGTGAAATATAACTGATCTGACTAACTGATATGAATCGGTACACGTTATTTTGCGTTGTGAGGAAGTGAAATATAAGTGATCTGACTAACTGATATGAATCGGTACCATCTGTTTGGCCCCCAGGTGAGACCAGAGCAGCCCTGTCACGCCCACAGCGCCCCCTTTCGGCCCGGACGGCCCACCACGCCCCGGCGCCTGTGAAAGGGTACCATGTCAGCCGTAGCATGTCCCAGCACTCCTCCGGAGGCGGAGGAGGAGGAGGAGGAGGCTCCTGCCACTGGTCGCCTGAGGACTGCGACGGCCCGGGCAGAGACTACTACCAGGGTCACGCCGACGGCCACTATTACACTCACGGGGGTCCGGCTGAAGCCCTGGCGCTGGAGAGGCACCATTCTCACTCCCACTCCCACGGCCACTCTGGAGGGGGCACCTTCCCCCGCTCTCACCCAAACCAGCACCCGACTCACCAATCGTTGGACTCCTGCGAAGAGTGCCTGTCCTCGGTCCACGGAGGCAAAATGCACCGCATTCCCCCCAACGTGGTAGAGCATTTTGACAAGCAGGTGCCCTTCCATCCCGACGGCTTCCACACGCTGCAGTACCAGCGCAGCGCCAGTGGGGGCGCTGAGCCACGCAGCGAGAGCCCCTCCCGCATCCGCCACCTGGTCAACTCTGTGCAGCGCCTCTTCGCCAAGTCCCATTCTCTGGAGGCACCGAGCAAGCGGGAGTACAACGGCACGAGGGGAGGAGGAGGAGGAGGAGGGGGCGGCGGCCACAGGAGTGGAGGGGAGGATGGCGGAGGAGGCCACTACTCGGGTCACCAGCCTCGCTCCACCCGGCGGAGCAAGTCCCGGGAGCGAAGCAAGAGCGGAGACTCGCGGCACGAGTCGGGCAGGCGCCACCGCAGCAGGACAGCAGGCTGGTGGAGCTCTGACGACAACCTGGACAGCGACAGCAGCTTCCTGGTCAGCGGCGGCCGGCGGGGTTATCCCAGCGGGCACGAGAGCCTGGACGCGGCCATCCAGGAGCTCACCATGAAGAGGCCCAAGGAGCGCGGCGGTGGTGGGCCGGTGCCTGGAGAGTGCATGGCCTGTACCACGATGGCTCTGGCTGGGAGTGAAGGAGGGGGAAGTCAGGGGCACCTGGGCCACTCCCTGAAAAGGAGCACGTGGTCCGCCATGACAGTGAGTCAGGCCAGAGAGGTGTACCCGTCTACCAGGGGAGCGAGCTACGAGAAAGCCCTGGTGCCCTTGGAGAGTAAGCTGAAGGAGAGGACCTTCCACTACTTGCAGGTGTGTGTACTTGCATGTCAACCAGTGATTGTGTGTGTGAGAATTGGACTTTTGGAATTGGATCACAAAACAGGGACCCTCATAGATAATCAACGTCCATCCCAACAGTCCTCCATGTTGCCTTGATCGATCATTTTTTGTGTCCTTTCTCTCATTTTGTACAAATTCTGTAAAAAATGAAAAAAAAAAAAATCGAATGGATGCGTCAGTGTACCTGCGAGACAGGAGAAAAGGCACATTTATACACACAGAAAAACGCTCGTGCAAACCTGCAGCTGTGCAAAGTCAGAGCTGCCGCGCAGTCTGTGTTTCTACGGAAACAGCAGGTAGCCACAGAGGTCCCTGGTGTTATTCCAACTCTCATCTTTTAGACACAGCTGAGGTCTGCTGATAGAGCACACAGAGCAGGATTGTGCGTGTTGGTGTTTTCAAAAGACAAACCCCCCCACAATTTGCCTCAGTGCTTGAGGCTACCATCACATTCACACCTCAGGACACAAGATAAACTGCCCCACTGCAGCTTTTCTCATATCTTTATGCGCCACTTTATAGGTCTCTACTTTTTCGGGAAGTGGAATGGTGGAGAATTTTTGGGCTACGCTCTAATGTGTTGAGGTCCGCCAGATTAATTCCATGGTTTCAGAGCAGACGGCTTACTGGCACTGCAGATAGAGAGCTGTTCAGGTCCACTCCACCGGTACCTCGGGACAAGCAGCAGCGCCGTATCGAAGCTACTGCTCCACACTGAAGCTCGGTTCTCTGGTGGCAACAGTGGGAAAACCACGTATTCTTTAAAGCGATCAAAAATATTTTGGCATTTTGATATTAACAAGTGATTACATGTCTACTTGTACATGAAAGTGATAACTTATGGTGATGAAATCTCCCAGCTCTGATGTTCCTCTCATCTCTGCTGCAGTTAGCGACTAGCTGGAGGAGTATTTACCAGTAGGTGTTAGAGCTTAGAAAGCAAAATAATGAAGCAGGAATAATGTCAATCAGGTGCATGAGAAACATTAGTGAATGGGTAACACATTGTCATGCTTTCGAAAAGAAACATAAAGCTTATACTTCATCAATTCAAATCTATGATATGACTGTTCCTTTAAGTTAGAAAGAGGCCGTCTACTGCCATTTCGCCGTTAACGTGTCATGCAAGTCCACACCATAGGTCGCCCCCGCTCTACTTTGCAGCACACCAGCAAGAAAAAGGTGAGGCATCTTGAAGTGGAAATTGAAGGGGAAAAAAAGCGGGTGAATCTTCACAAGTCTGAATTACTGTGGTCAGTCGAATGGACATGTTCAAAGTTCTTTTCTCCCATTGTGTCAACGTCAATCACGACATTGGGCCTTTAGAACCCGGAGCTCTCCATTCCCTGAGCCTTTGCCGTCCCCCTGTCCTGCGTCTGGTAGATAAGGAATATGGAATATGAAGCGAGAGTGAAATGAAGACAGAAACAGCGAGGGAGAGATGAAGACAGAGGGGTGGTGGCGCAGGGTGGAGAGATGCAGGGATAGCGAAGCTAGCTCGGGGATAGAAAGGAGATAAAGGAGGTGATGGTAGCCGAGGGGCAAAGCGAGAGGAGAGAAAGCAGAAGCATGAGAAAATAAGAGAGATAGTAGAAGGCCAGTGGGATCAGGAGATTAGGCTGAATCATCTTTTAAGTGATGACCTTAAAAGCACACACTCAGCTGGATGCCAAACCCCGAGGCCCTAAACGTATGTGTGTGTGTCAACGGGTGTAGGTGGTTTTTATTTGGTCACATGCGACCACACAACAGCATTTGCACAAAAAAATGGACAGACGAGCTAAGAGTAACAAATTGGCATAAAAGAAACAAAAGTGGAAGTCGGTTGTGAGTCGTGAAGGGCGAGAGGGGCTTTTGGTATCAGCAACAGTCACACAACGAATCGTCCACCCTCCGCTCTGCAAAACCACGAGGAACCAGCGGGCAAACGGACACGGGGCATCGGGGCGAGCCGGGGCCGTGGAGAAGGCAGAACATAGAAAGTCCAATGTTTCGTTCAGGAATTGATAGAAATCTAAAACAAAGTGAAAAGAAATGAACAAGCGGGATTGCGACGTGTTTCAATCTCGCACTCGATAACTGTCTTTTTTCCGTATTTCTGCGGTTCCCCAGAAATTGTTAAATGTTTTTGGGAATATCAACGGATTTAATGTGGGATGTATCAGGCAGTGAAAGTCTGATGTTTGACTGCTTCGTTCAATGCATTAGTTTGTCTTCTTCTGTGATAAAAAAGCATATTTTCAAGAGTTATGAAAACATCCCGGCTTATAAAAGTCGTACATTTTACGTGACGGCCACAGTGGGAACCTTTTGTTGTCGCTCTTATGCATTCTATATCTGTTGTCTCCCTCCTTAGTTCCTTGTCCTGGCTGTGTGTGTGCGTGCGTGTGTGCTTGTTTGTGTGTTTGTAATTTAGTTTTCTCATCACACTCTCATTTATCTGCCCATCGGTCTTCTGGCTCTCGGCCTGCTTCTACGTGTCAGCTTCTCTGTTCCTCGGTCCTTCCCACCGTGCACGTGGGTCTGTCTCTCTCTGTCTCTCTGTCTCTCTGCCACCGTCCCCGTGCGTCTGCCGACATTTTGTCCGTTTACCTGCCTTCTGGCTCGACGCTTTGTTTGCTCTTGGTCAGTCAGCTTATGCCGTTCCTCCTTCTCTGTGTCAGTGTTTCACCGGCTGTCAGAGTTTCTCTCTTTCTGTAAGTTGCTTTGTCTCTTTCTGGATTCGGCTAATTCTGTATCCTGTGTATATGCATGTGTGCGTGTGACAGTGTGTGTGTGTGCGCTCTCCTAATGTTCACGTTCACGCATCCAGTTATCCGTGCGTGCGCGTTCTCCCTGAGGTGTGAAATATATTTTGGGTGATTAAATATATTTCCGGTCCTTTGACTTTAATAACAGAAATTGAGAATAAGCTGCCAACGGTGCAGCAACAACATCTGCAATAACTCAGCACTAATTCCTTCTCACTGTGATCAATGGCTTTTCCCTTTAACAGTTGGTATGCAAGAAGAATGCCTTCTTACTTATTTTAGGAGTTTAACCCATTAACAGAAAACATGACTAAAACCTTGTACTCACTGAATGCTGCATATGAATCCTCCTCTGTCTCTTATGTAACTCATCAATGACTCCACAAATACCGGTGCGGACGTGATGTGCCTCAGGTCCCTTCCGACGACTGGGGCGGCGGATACGGCGGCGGTGACGGCGGTGGGGAGATTCCGTGCCGCCGCATGCGCAGCGGCAGCTACATCAAGGCCATGGGCGACGACGACAGCGTGGACTCGGACACCAGCCCGAAGACCTCGCCCAAGTCCACCCTGGTGGCCCAGAGGGACGCCTTCAGACGATCCATCAGCATGGATCAAAGGTCAAATGTCCCGAATGGAACGTCTGGCTTCTGTAATGCTGTTGTTGTTGTTCTTGTTGATTACTTGAACGCTCCATTTGAGAAGCGGACATCTCGCCACGGAACGTTGTTTGTTTCACACGATGCGGACCAACGGCTGTTGATAGAACAGAAAACCTGCATTATCTCAACAACAACAAAAAAAGAGTACACGTGTTTTATTTAGTACCGCACTTATGCCGGGATAAAAGCCCCGATGACATCACCACCTCAGCTCCAGCATCCAGAGAGAATATTACATGAATGTTTTTATTGTGTAAGATTGGTGGAGTGCCACTTTCAGATATTCTCTGGCAGGCTTAAGACGAGGAGAGCTTGGATATGGATGCATTCATCTCCTTGAAAACGTGGATTAAATGGCCGTTCTATGTGCTAAAAATATTTTACAGTATAGATTTACACAAACGTTCACAATGATTTCAAACAGAAAAACACATCATAGTCACAATACGATGCTTTGCAGTATCACAACACTGAAAGATCAGTCCATGATGTAAGAAATAACTACGTTGTTAGCAACGCTGATTTTGTGCATTATTCGTTTAATTCAGGTACTCGTGTAAGCAGTGTACCGACTCTTATCCCAACAGCCGAACCACACCCAAAACCCAGACCCGCTCTCGTAGCTACACCCGCTCTCTGACCAGCTCACAGGTAACAAACGATCCGTCTCCTCAGTGTGATGATTTTGTTTGGGGGGGGGGGTGTATTTGTTTTGGTTGTGGGATAATGTGGAATTTCAGTCCAAAGGGTCTCGACTACAGCGGCGCGTCTCTCTCTCTCTCTCACGTCCTTCAGCTGGGAGACACGTTGAACCGCCAGTTCGAGGCGGTGTGTGAGACCATGTTTGGAGAGGTGGAGTCTCAAGCTGTCGAGGCTCTGGACCTTCCGGGTGTGTTCCGCACTCGCAGCCACAGCTACGTCCGCGCCATCCAGGCCGGCTGCTCCCAGGACGACGACTGCCTCTCGGTCTTCTCCATGTCCGGCCCCCAGGGAAGCATCAAGGGCGGCGCCGGTGAGGGTCTGCATATGTGTTTGTGCTTTGGCGCCCCCAATAAATACCGAGTCTGTGTTGTCTGCGCGAGTGTTACAAGGGTGTGCGATGGCCTTTTAACGTGGCGGCAACACGGTGGGACGGACAGTGTGAGAAAGCATTTATATGACAGCTTGTGTCTGTTTACTTTGAATAAAGCAAGCTTATGTACGTGCACACACACACAAACAACCACAAACCCTACACCCTCATTCGTTGCTCGGTTGTGTGCATCCGTTTTGTATCAGTAACCTCGTCTCCTCCTGGTCCTTCAGTCTCATTTTTTCACCCAATCATTCTGCAGCACTTCCCTCGTCTTTGTGTATATGTGCGCATTCTGTAAGCACAGACGCGTGCGTGTGTTAATGTGCATTCTCTCTGTGTCTCGTCGCTCCCATCACCCTCCATGGTGTGATGACAGAATTCTCAGACTGAGAAATAGGTAGAGAGACGCTCTGCTGATAGCGCCGTGTCCTTGGCTGCTTAGTTCTCTCTGTTTACCCGGAATGCCTCCTCCTGGTGTCGTCTCACTCTTTGGCTTTCTTGCGCATCACTCTTTATCGGAAACATGTGTTTTATGTGCATTTTGTGTTTTGTTTGTCTCGTTTTTGCATTCGTGCTCTTATTCAAGCGCGATGTACATTACACCTGGAGTGATTTGTGAGCGTGTGCGTGTGTGTGCGTACGGCAGACTGAAGAGACACTTCAGTGCTTGTAAGGAATCAAATGTTTTAAGTTCAGACCAGCAAATCCCCCCCGGGTATTTCTTAAAGCCTCTGTGAAGTGTTCTATACATCAAGTATGAAACACAAAGTGTGGTACACAAACTCAAGGACACAAACGCCTACATACTATGCATGCTCCCATGCTAGAGCGTCATGGCGAAGAGCTGTGTAAACCGCAAAAATCCGTGTGGCGGCGAAGATGCTTTGAAAGAAATGCATTCAAGTGATGCCTTATTCGCTGAAAGCTGCGTGTGCGCCGGCACAAAGGCTACGTTTGAACCAGACTGAGAGGGGAGGAGGACGAGACCAAATCTGCCCTCTCATTTTAATTATTTTCCAGGAAATTGCTTCATCTTCCCAAAAAGAGGGTAAAGAGAAGAGGTTTTTCTATTGCCACTTGAGTCGTGTCTGTCACTTGCACCACGTCGCTCCCAGCCTCCTACTAAAAGGCTTAACAAAAGATCATTTTTAGTGCAGAGAAACGGAGCTTTTGAGTTTTCTACTTTCTATCACATCTTGCAAACGCAATATTGTTTATTCATTTTTTTTTGTTTTCTCTCTTTCTCTCTGTATTCTTTTACCCTCTTATATGTCAACACATTTCACTCTTTTCACTCTTTGTATATCCTTTCACCCCATCCATCCAGTCTATCGCTTCTGTAAGTCCCCACCTACCCTGCCCCTGTTGATATAGTACCTTTTTGCTTCTAACACCTCTCTGTGCCTCTCTCTTCCTTTCTACCCCTCTTCTGACACTTTAAAGTCTTTCCATATCGTAAAGGTGCTCCTCCCCCGCTGCCGCCTCGCATGTCCAAGTCTTCACTGTCGGTGCGAGCCCAGAGCAGCACCGAGTCCAACCAGGACGCCTACTACCAGAGCGCTGGGCAGTTGGCTTCAAGCTCGGGCCCCGGGCGTCCCAAGCAGCACAGCAACTCCGTGGACCTGGGCAGCTCCGATGGTCCCTCGGGTCGCTCCTCCAGGGGGGGCTACTACACCGCCGCCGGCCCCGGACGTTCCCGACAGCACAGTAACTCGGCAGAGAGCCTAGACGGGGTCAGGGGCTCGCGGGAGCTGGTGCCCTACGGAGGGGGCCCAGGGGTGAGGGCCAAGCACAGCAGCTCGGCCGACAGTCTGCTGGAGGGGCCACCGAGGCCGGCCAGGGAGAGGGACGGCAGGGTCGCGGGCAGCCTGGGGAAGTCGGTGTCTCTGCCCCAGAACAGCATAGTGCTCAGTAAGGCCGGGGGGCAGGACGGGAGAAAGTGGAGGCCATCCATAGCTGTGCAGGTGAAGAGGGACATTTTACATACGAGTGGTGTTCATCTTCCTGCCGGAGAGCAGAAACATGGATGTTGAATGAATGAAAACATCTTTATTGTGATGAATTGTGCAGGACCTCTTTGGTGTGTTCCAGGTGGACAGCTCAGAGACTCTGTCGGATTCAGACGCAGAGGGAAAGGCTCTCACAGAGGTCCACTCTATAGGGGTCCAAGTGGAAGATGATAAAAGGTAATCGAGACACAACTGGAAATCAAAGCAGAGGGGAGAATGTTTCTTTGAAAACAACTCACAACTTAAAGTGGGTTTATTGAGCATGCCATTTAACTTTCCGTAATTATGCACCCAAACTGGCAAACTAAGATGTGCATTTGATTGTTTGCTAATTGCCATGAAATGTGTGGCTTCATTATGGGTTTTTGGTCTTTGCACAGTAATTTATGTGAATAATTCTAATATATAATTTGAAAAAGCCTTCATTTGCCGGGCGCCCAACAGTGCCGCCACCTATGGTTGATTTCTAGGCCAGATCCTATTATTTCATTTAACATTTCATCAGACATCACAGCAGGCACACTTTGTTCCAAGAATCTCTTGTTTTTCGACTGTTACCAGGACTACTGCACATCACACACTCTACATGACACACAGGATGCAGCCCTCATCTTAATTAAACCCAGCATTGCTAATGGGTCAGATACACGTGCATGGGTGTGGGCACTAACCAACATCACCGCATTTCTCCAACCCGAGCAGCGTGTGCAACTGCACCTGTTGACCATGTACCTCAGCTCTTGCAATATGTGAGGATGGCCGCGTGAAGTCGGGGGGCCCTGGGGAGGTTTGGGGGGGGGGGGGGGGGGGTTGGGCGAAATAGGAGAGCGGATATGAAGTCGCACCTTAAGCCTCAACAGACACCAAAGAAGGGGAGGTGGGGTATTAACTTGTAATAAAGTAAACACTCATCACTGAGTCAGTTGACATGACATTTGCACACACTGGTGCGTCATATGCCAGAGGATTAAGCGAAGCTTATCACAGCCGAGGGAGCAGCACTGACTCCAGCGACAGCATGACTGTCTTGTTTCAGTAGGAATGTGCAATAATTAGAAGCCAAACTGACTGAGTCTTGTTTATTGCACGCGACACTCTGCGTGACGCCGATGGCTCCGGGCCCCCTGCTGCGACTCCCAGGCGGGCTCGTTTCAAGCGCTCCAACAGCGTGACGGCGAGTGTGCAGGCCGACTTGGACCCCGAGGGCTTCCCGGGACTCAGCATCGCCGTGCCCACGCAGGACAAGAGTCTCCAGTTCGGCTGTTCCTTCCAGAGGCACTCGTCGGAGCCGGAGTCCGCCAGCCAGTACACGGATTGCCACCGCACAGTCCACACGCAGGGCCAATGGGCCTACAGAGAGGTAGGCCCGCAGGCTACATGCTGGGCAATTATTATTGTTCTCATCTTTCGCTAGCCAGGGGTCCACTATCCCCTCGCACACGCAGGAAATGAAAGTAGCTCAGTTGTACCTAATGGTCTCATGAATTGCAAGCTGATGACTGAGGTATATCAATTAATGGTCTAAATACCACGTGTCGCAACACATTTCTTATGCAATCCCAGGACTTCCTCCAGAGTGGCTACACCACACAGGCCTGCCAAGCCGACCCGCGGCCCCACCAGCACCCACACTTGCCTCCACGTTCCCACTCCCCTCTGCCCATCACCTCCGAGAGAGCTTGGGCGGGGACTCCGTCCCTGGAGGGCCCCCGGAGTCTGCCCGACTCGGGGCGAGCGTCGCCCTGCATGAGGGACGGAGAGTTTTTCTTGCGCCTCCTGCAGACCGAGGTGGAGAGGATGGAGGGCTGGTGCCAGAACATGGAGCGAGAGGCAGAGGAGAACGAACTGCCAGAGGAGAGTGAGTTTGGGTGGAAGTGCCGAAGAGGATCGGGGGAAACGATGTTCAATGAGCGGTTCTTTGGTTTCTAAAATGTGCCGTTTCCTCTCTAGTTCTCGAACTGATACGAAACGCAGTTGGCAGCGCCCAGATGCTCATGTCTCAGAAAGTTCAGCAGTTCTTCCGCCTCTGCCAACAAAGTGTGGTGAGTATGTGTGATTGAATGTAACAGCATGACAACACACATTACTTATGGCACCTGGTTTTTGCCGAGATCCGCCGGCGCCAAAGGCGAAAATGAATCGCCTGCAAAAACGTTGCAAACTCATTTCATAAAGCTTTGCTTTCTCACCAATCACATGGCATGTCCTTTCTCCCCGCCCAACCAGGACCCTTCAGCCTACCCCCAGCCCACCTCTCAGGACCTGGCAGGCTTCTGGGATCTGCTCCAGCTCAACATAGAGGACGTCAGGATCAAGTTTCAGGACCTCCAGAGGCTCAAGGACTCTGGTTGGAGGCTCCCGCCTGAAAAGAAGGTGAGAAGCCGAGGGGTCCAAACGGCCCTGGTTTCCCAACAGCGCTGTCCAAGAGCTAAGATGGCGGTGTGCAGAAGAGTGGCGCAGATGGTCGTGCCCTCCAACCAAATGCGGGCTGTAACAATACGGAACAGCGAGAGGAACTGAGATGCCCGTGAGACTTAAAACTGAGTTGTGAACTGAAGCAGATCTAAATGTATATCAGCTCTTTTGCACTCGTTGCAGCTAATCAGACCATTTCCTTCAAAGGTTAGGCTACTCACTGATCAACTACATTATTCTGGATAACAAACTAACAATTGTTTCTCTTTTCTTCTTTTTCTTTTGACATTATCTTTTTACCTTTTTCTTCTCCCACTTCATTTCCTTCTGTCGCCCGATGCCAACGCATGCTGAGATGCTTTTTGCTTAATTTATTTTTTGGGATTATGGTTATTTGTCTCCCATAACGTCTCGGCCCGTGATTTACTTCACTTTAATTTGACCCTCTACGTTCATGGTTTTGCTCTTTTGTTTGTCATTCACTTTGTTTGTCTTTTTCTGCATGGGATTCCGTTTTGTACAACCATTCGACACCATTTCCTTTTTTCACCACCCGGTACGATAAATCCACCGTCCGCTTTCATCTTGTATCTACGTCTCGCAATTGCCGGGCTAGGAGGATAAGAAACTTCCTCCTCCCTTACCAAAGAAGTCAGCGGGCGGGGTGAGCGGCAGCCTCCGGGCCGATAGCGTCGGGGACGCCGGAGGAGGTGGATCGGGTGGCCTGGTGGTGCCTCGCATTGGGGGACATACCTTACCCATCAGGGAGAAGTCTCTGGACCTCGGGGACCGTCAGAGGACGGAAGCGAGGAGGAGGCTGCTGCAGACCAAGCGCACCGCCTCCTTCAGGCAAAACTCGGCCACAGAGAGCGCAGACAGCATCGAGATCTACATCCCCGAAGCCCAGACTCGACTCTGAAGACTGCGGTGTCTCACGCACTCCCGGCACCCGAGCTGACCGGCACGCCGACCCTCAGTCTTCTCTCCGATCCCAGTATGGGATCCTCCGCAGGTCATCACGTTTTTCTCCACCTTCCTCCCTTCAGCATATAGAACACTTCGCTTACAACAACCACAGAATTAACTCCTCTTGCTCATTAAATGAGCAATGACAGCCATTATAGTGTCTTGAAATTTGGACATTTTTCTGACACAGAGGCCTCAATGGGAAATGGTAGCTAGCGGACATGATTTATCAACTTTTCAAAGAATACTCTGAATTTCCTTTTAGCTCACAAACACGTAACAGTCCACTTTTATAACCGTAGTCAGTAGTCAGTGGAGGTTCACGCAGTAGTAGCATGCCTGTGCGCGTTCACCTAGCACTTCTATATCATTGAAAATTAAGGGCTTAAGGCACAAAACCTCTGTGGAGACGGCGAAATAACAGAATCTCCCTTGGGATCCCCTTTTGCCATCTTCTGAATGCCATTTGCAGCAGAATCAACTGCGATATAGCCACACTCTCCACCGATGCTACCACTACGGATGAATAAACATGGACTTATTTCCAACCATGAGTTTGAATGCCCTTAAAGTCAGATGGTTGGCGATCCCCAAAGAACATTCTCCAAGCATAGTCAGTCCACTGCAGCTGGCACTTTTCACCCCGGTGCCATCTGCCCAGCCAGGCACCCTGTCAAAGGATATAAAACTATTTTCTGTCTCTTCCCCTCATTCCCCACGTCCCGTGCACCCATCGATTACCCACAGTGATGCCGCTTGAATGTGCAAGTGCTATTTGTACATAGTGTGCACAATCGTGTTTGCCAAAAAGAGCTTTTGCTGTGTGGCGTCGCAGCCTCGACAGCGACGGAGCATGACGGACGACCGTTTGCTTTTTCACAAAGTCTCTCTGAAGTTTCGAGTGTTCAGGGGTTGGGTTTGCTGGGAGTTAATAGGGAGGAGAATATTTTGGTGGCTTTTTAGGACTTTACTGAGAAGGCCCCCCTTTCACTGTGAGACTACACCACCACCAAGTGGTCAAACGAGGACCTAAAACCAACTACAGTGGTGCGTAGAGAGTCCTTTCCGCCTGTGTCAGGAATTAAGACACGCTGATAAAACCGTCTTTTTATCAGTTCTTTCTGCTCTCTTCTCTTGAATATTCAAAGGCGACTTTCTCGTGACACGTTTGCATAATTGCAAGTTTTATGTCAGCGGAACACAAAGTAATGGGGGAAAGCAGAGCTGGGAAAGTCTTCAGCAAAATCCACAAGGCGGACCTGAAGTGCGATCCTCTCGGTTTCTCGCACCGCTGATGAACGAAGGAAGGATTTTGTTTTTTTTCCTCGAGTCGAGAAAGCACAAAAGGGAGTCGTATTTAACGCAGCTTCTTCCACAGCCCGTCCAAAAAGTCATCCGAGAGAGGAAACCATCCGTCGTGAAATGAGAGAAGAGAAGCAACTTGATAGCGTTTGGTATTTATGCTGAGATTAAGTTACACTTGTTATGAATGGAATGATACTATATGTTAGTTGCACTGTGTGTTCATATCTCTTCCTCTTTATTCACTTCTTGAAATCATACTCTCCACGGAAAACAAAGCGTAGCATGATTTTAGAGGTCTTATTTATTTATATCGAAACCGATATTTCATATGTAAGTGTTCTGTACGGATGGTGCCCAGAGGTGTGTCTGTGTGTAGTGTGAATAAGAAGGGCTGCGTGTCGACGGACATGTGATGAAGCCCAGTGAAAAGTCCAAATCAGAAGTTTTAAAGACCTAAAACACAAAGTAATCTTTAAGCATGACCTGTTTTATTTCTCTTTTTTTAACATTTGGGTGTAAAGTGTTGGCAAAATGGGATATTTTAATGAGAGATGTATATTTTATAATATAATCGACATTTCTAGATTAGTAGAGACTATTGAGTACAGTATATGTACAAAAACAGCATATATCAAATGTGAAAAACTACAATATTATTATGATAGATTATAGCATTGTCTGATACTAAAGCTGTGTGGCATATCCAGACTCAGTACAATTTAAAAAATAATTCCAATCGATTATTATCTAGTTTTGGGGTACTGGGTCAGGTTCACAGGGTATAAATGGCCAGAATTAATTGCCATGTAGGATCCTCCTTTGGCCTACTGTATATCTGTCTGTGGTTCTAACAACATATACTGCTGTATCGCCTCCCTGTATTCCCCCTTTAGAACCACCTACATGTGCCTAACCAGCTATATGTGGAGGTTTCCTTTGAACACAGTTTACAGTATATATATATCTATATATATACACATATAGAAAGATATGTACATAGAAAAAGTATGAAAATCTGCAGAGTATTGTTAAAGAAAATGTTTTTATCGTACTGACGCTCCATCCTTTGTCTCCTTAACTCTCACTTGCAATACACACAGAAGACTGGCAGATTTTGTGAACATTAATACTGCATGTTTTATGTCAACCTCCTTTGAGAAGTTTAGTAGAGTCACGTTTTGGACCGATAACAGCAAAGCTAATTTTGTAGCTTGTAGACACTTTTTGTGATTGAAAACAATTTATACAATGCCGTTGTCTGAGTGACTCATGCCTTTTGAACAAAGATGATTTTGATTTGAATCTCAGCTTATCAATTGAACAACCTCCACGTAAAACAAGCTGCCCTGACAATGAAAAGCAGGGCGGAGAATCAGACCTGTTTCATTTATTTGCAGCAACGTGGGTTTGCCGAGCAGCCTTTCCTCTTTTTTTTTTCTTTTCCCCCCACATCTTTTTCCTCTGTAACCCTCAAACGTCACAACATCATCAAACAAAGCACAAATACCTGCTTTTATACTGTTAACCCACTGTGAAGGCCTCTTGACTCCACCCTCACAATCCTCAAACCTACACACAGAGGGATGGCAAGGTCGGCCTTGAGGAACACCAGGAATCAAAGATGCTTTGTTGGATGTTTATCCACCGTAGCAACTACTACTACTTCTTCAATTCTAGCTGACTCTCTCCTTTATACTTTTGATCAAACATCGAGGTGTTTGCCAGCCACCTTGCCTTGAAACAGGTCCATTGCAAACACATTTTGGCTGGTTTGATTTCCATACCGTTTTTGTATTTTACTAAATCCCTCGGTCCGATATCTTCACAGTATAAATGCAGGAGGCCTCAGCTAGAAATAGCACCTGGGTGTGTAGTTGTACAAACGTCATCTGAACACGCCAGACCGACTACTATACAAACCCTTTCACCTCTATTTAGAAGTGCAAAAACGCCCTCGCGGATCGGCCAGACGGACGAGTCGGCTCCGACCGAAGTCCTCTGTCCTCGGGGGATTCTCTCAGCCAACGGACCCCGATGACACAGGACCACATCAGCCCTGCAGGAATGCTCTCCATATTCTCGAGAACGAAAGGGGAAATCGCCTCATCCCAGATGATCTTGCCATTCTCCAGTAGCCATTATATCGAGACCGCAGAGCGACCCGAATCCCAGACAGGGAGAGAAAGTGAAAAAGAAACGTTGGTGGAGGCCAGAGCTTTGTTGTAGCCGATGTGTGTGGGCTGTATTTTGTGCATCTGCGACAAAGTGGAGCAGGAGGGCTGCCGTAGCAGCATATTGGAGTTTCAGTTATGTGGAGGCAGAGCTGCTCTGGAAGAAAAAGAAGCCAAGGAGATTTGGCTCGTCATGTCTTGTTTGGCGGAGGCATTTGTGTGGGACCTTTTGGGGATCATCATTTTAATATACAGGATATTAATGAGATGAAAAACATGCTTTGTTTCCTGTGGATCTCTTAGGGGAATGATTTCATTCCAGTGGCGGACCCTGCCAATAATACTGAAGTACTATTTAGAAAAGGAATTGCAGAAGGTAGATACGTTAAATTTCTGTTGATGAGAAGAAAAGCCAACCACAAACCGATTGAAAGGTGTGGATTTCTTTTATAAAAATCGATAATCATATCTTTACATTTTTATTTTGATCAAACGTACTTAATATATCATGTTTGGCTCCGTTTTACTTCCTTCTGCCTCCAGAGCAGCTCTAACCCGGGAGATACTCGACTGAAACTCCAATGTGCCTTTAGCACTGAGGTGTAATTGTGTTTGTATGTGCGTGTCTGTTTATTTGAACTGCAACGTTACTTCAGAGTAAACACACAGGTAACAACGAGGGGCGGCGACAACTGAGCAATTACTGTGTAATTAACAAAAAATTATATCCAGCCACCCTCACGTTTACAAAAAATGTAAATAATATGTTGCCAATTGACATTGCTATTCTCAATATATTGTTATTACAATATGATTATTATCAGTAGTAGCAGTATAATTATTGTCATTAAAAGGATTCATTATTGCCATCACTCATTATAAACGGTGTTGTCGACTATAGCTATGGGTAGACATTGTTCCATATTCAAGAGCAAGTCTTGTGTACAGAAACAAAGAACTAGTTTATTTTACGATTAAAAGTGCTTTGCTGCTAAAAGGGAGGTGGAGTACAAGTAAATCAAAAGTGACAATAACTCACACATTTTTCTCTGGGATCGAGGAAGGACACTCCCGACAAAGAGTGAGAGATGGCAGGAGGAAAGTGGGCGTTGAACAGATGGACATCCAAACTTCTTTCGCCATGTGCATTTTTTCCCGTTGCCGTTGTCCCGCCAGGAGGGAAAAAAACAACAACATGGACGTCCGACCAATACAGACTCTCCACATTCTACTCTATAATGTAGCAGAAACTTAAATATAGCCCCTTGTTGTCCTCTCATCTGTTCCTCACTCTGAGTTTTAATCAAACGGGTTTGATACAGCGAGCTTTTCTGTCTTCAAGCTCAGCTTTATCTTGAGTTCTCTTGTTTTATACACGTTTGATTCAGTGCCAAGACAGCATATTGTACATACAAACATTACATGTTCATGTTTTTATTTCTCGCCTATAAAAAAAAAATCAAACAAACAAGTGACTGGAGCACATAGCAATAGCGATGCCATTAGACATGAACTTCGCTTGGTGATGCCGCCGTGGACACGCAGGATGCATGAGAACACCAGGGAGACGGACACGTGCCCGACGCCAGCGGAAGGGCGTCCGCACAGCGAAGTGTGTAAACCATGATTCGGGTGGGTTGTGTTGTGGTTCACCTTTTGTACATACAAATGTGTTCATTGATCTTGTACGTTCCATGGATCTAGATGTGTCCGAGGAGCACGTCTGATGGCGCTGATGCCCGGAGAGGTGGCACACTGTGACGTGGTTTACCCCAACACAGAATGTAACACTGTCAACGTTGTCCAAACATTTTCTAATGGCTAATATTAGTACTATTAATATGATTATTATAAAGCTATTTTAGCGAGTTAAATGAGTGGTGATGTGTCTCCTTTGTCTCCGTCTCTATTGAATGTTTTTTGCACTTAATCTTCAGTCACTCCAAAAGTCCCTGAAAATCTAGTTTTTTCTGTAATATCGATCATTGTCCCGGTAATATGACAAACGAAAGACTGCAAACACTTTCCTCACCTTCCACAACTTCCCCCATTTCGAACCAGGGCTTCAGCCCTTCTCCTGATCTCCAGGCGTTGGTACTGAGCAGTTGCCAGGCATCAGCGGAGACTCCTGCAAGGCGCTGTGCAGGGCCAGGACGAGATATGACCCAGCACGTAACCCCCTCGCCACGACAAACGGTCATAGCCTTCAGGTTTTGTACAGATTTAACAAACACGACCCCGTTAGTTGGACTGTGAGATTTTAAAGTACAGGTAGGTGGATTTCACGCTTACATTTTGCTCCCCCTCCCGTCTTTATACATCTCACTCGGGTATTTGCAATGCAAATGAGAAGGAAAGTACACGCTTTTAGGAAGATTGAAATAGGAGACTGGCCTTTCGACAGCTGCGCATAAATAAAACCTGCTGCTACGAAAATATAAAGTGTCCCTCTGAGATTTTAAACGCAAAGCTGTAGCCTCAAGATAAGAGAAGTAGGGTCAGGGAGTTAGTCAAATAAAAACATGTGGGAGGTGATGAGTATCGGCACCCTGAGGCACCTAAGGGAGTTGCTGCAAATCAAAGTGCTAACAAGTGCTGCGTGGAACATCAAAATGGTCTTTCAGTTTATGTCATACCGCGGTTGTTGTGTCCAAGCGCATCCCGGCAGCAGGGAGCAGCTGGCTGATTAATGACAGATGCAAAGAAGAGTTTGTCAGAGGCAAGGGCTACCCTTCTATACAACTCTGCTTTTGCAGTATAATGTGAATGGTTAAGATTGCCAATGTAATGTGTGTGGCACGACACAAGCATTCATCAGAAAAATCATCTTTTATTCAACCATTTTAAAAGCATTCAGTAAAAAAAGTGGGGTAAAATTTCAACATACCTCTAGGAAAATTGATTGTTTCTAAAACTAGAAATGTGTCATTAGCATTCCTCAGAGCTATAAAGGACATGATTTAAGAGGAATTTTTCATTTTAGCACGGATGCGCGGTCCCTTAATATCCTGCAAACATCATCACAAGCAGAGATGAACAAATCAGTCGACCTCATTGGGTTTGGACACGTTGGGGGTTTTAGGCTCACTGGATGCCGTCCAGTTTGAGTGTCCAGGCCTGACCGGAGGAAGAGGGCAGTTCAGGGAGCAGAACAGTAAGGCCAGCACTGGGCTGGACCGGGGCCCATGGGAGGGGGTTTGAATTCCCCAACAGGGTCACCTGAACCGGGAACCAAAAAAAAGAAGAAAAAAAAAAGAAAAGAATACAACAGTTCTTCAGATTCTCATTGCTACATCCGTGGCCATGTTACGTACACCTGGTTACATACAGGTCCTCTAAGATAACAACATGAAATGTTACGTTCATTTTTTTTTTTTTTTTCCAAGGCTTGAGAGTAGACTTTTGTTGATTCTTTTACCTTAGTAGCTGCTGACGTTTTGGGTGCCAGTAGTTGCAATGTGACCCTGGGAGGCCTGGCTGTCATGATGGCATAGACGGCGTTGCCTTTAGATGTATACCTGGGGAAATAGAGACGCTAATTGAGATGAGAACTGCATCCATGTACCTTTTCATTAGTTTAGGAACATTGTTCTAAGAACCACCCTCTTATACTGTCCGAGCCACAAGAACTAGTGGGTTTTAAGGAACATCTCTAGCACCTTGCTTAAAATTGTCTTACCAGACCGGGACGGTGGTGTTCTCGGCCTGGACCCTCCAGGGTTTGGAGGCGTATATCGCCTCGCCGTTCAACTTCAGCCAGGCGCCAACACCCCTGAGTCTCTCCTCAAACACTGCGGGGATCATCCCTTCAGGTGTGGGACCCACGTTCAGAAGGTAGTTACCTCCCAGAGCCACAGTGCCAACCAGATCCTGTAACGGGAGCAGCGGGAGGAGAAAAGAAACAGTCAGTCCTTGTAAAGAGACGACTCTCAGATCACAGTATTGGGATCACATAGGTTTTTTTTTTTTTATGCAGTGAAAAGGAAGATGACTGACTTAGATCTATTTTGGATAAGTAGCCTCTCGACAATGTTGACCAAAAAGAGGCAAATGGGATTGTAACATCGGCAATTAAGGATCAGCCAATTGACTGATAAAAATGTATGAATTACATGCATGAGAGATGTATACAGACCGGACTGGCCATCGTTACAGATTTAGCAAAACTCAATAATATGATCATGTTATCTGCACCTCTATGATAGCGGGCAAGTCCATCAGCTCGCTCAGCTTCATATTTCGCCGGTAACCCCAGGACAACGTGTCCACAGACGTGCACTTCTCCCATTTGTGCTGGGGCAGCTGACCTGGAGTGTACTTGTCTTCACAGTTATAGTAGCCGCCGTGTTTGCACGCACATCCAGCTCCCCATCTGTCGTTGGTCACAACAGTATCCTGGGGGCAAGGAAAAGTGCACGAATGCCTGCCTGAAACACTTTACACTGCAGCACAGCTAACACCATTGTGTGTGTGTGTGTGTGTGTCTTACTTTGACAGGGCTGTCATTGTAGAGCCAGGCCAGGAACTCGGTGGAGTTCCAGTAGGTGTCAGGTGCCTCCCAGTCCCCATCGGACCAGATCACCTCAGGTCTGTACCTGCGAAACAACAGGAGAGCAAAAAAGGTTTCAACACCCTGCCATCAAGTTTTGTTGTTATACGATGTAATAAAGTGGTTTCTGCAGAAATCAGCTGACGGGGGATATTTAAGTGGCACAAACCTCACGACCATGTTGTAAAGCTCTGGTAGCAGTTTATGCATCACAAACTTCTGGGTTTGGAATCCATTCTTCTTGTCAGCCAGGTAGAGAGGGTGGAACCACTCGTACAAGGAGTTGTACAATCCGTAGTGCAGGGACCTAAAAAGGGGGAATTAGAAAGCTTAGAATCGGTCATTGAGGACGCACAGAATTTATAACATTGCCAAACAAAACTCGGGCATTAAAACAAACAAAAGCCTTGTGTTTGAATGGCTCAACTTACAGGACCTGCAAAATAAATTAACAGGGCTCTTTCTCTGAAATTGAAACCCTTTATAACTCACTGTGTGGAACTCATTTCAATCACTTCAGTGTTGCTGTGGCACTAAATGCTTTGTCTGCATTTTGCATGAACCGATGCTGCAAACGGCATTATTCATTTTACATTGACAAGGAAACTGCAACGAATATAAAAATACGGATTACTATTAAATACTAGAATATTAAAAGGAAATAATACATACGTAAACATCTATAATGCATTGCATTCCTTGTGCAATCACGTCTTTAATTCGCGCCAGTACCGTAGTTTCTGATGACGCACCTGTTGCGCACGGCCTCCCCCAGGTCCCCCACCAGGTCCCTGTGAGGACCAGTGTCCTCGGAGTTCCAGTTCCACGAGTACGGGGACCCCCAGTTAGTGAATCCCTCGTGGTGTTTGGCAGTCAGGACGACATATCTGCAATGGGGGGGCGGGGGGGCAGGTGAGCCCCGGAAGTGAATAAACCGGCGTTGCTTTTATTGAAATACGCACTCACTTTGCCCCGGAAGCCTTGAACACGTCCGCCCAGTCCTCCGGGGCGAAGAACTCGGCGTGAAACCGGGGCGCGAACTCCGGGTAGCTGAACCCGGGGGGGTAGTTCTTGGACATGTAACTCACGCACTTCTGCTCCGGGGGCTGCTGGCCCTGCCAGTGCCACCAGAACCACTCGCTGCCGAACCCGGGGACGGAAAACACCCCCCAGTGGACGAAGACCCCCACCTTGGCTTCGTCGTACCACGGGGGCAGCGGCCTGGCGTCCAGACTCGCCCAGTCCGCGGAGTACCGAGCCGCCGTTTGGGAAACCAGCGCGACGACGACGATGGCGAAGGCGGCGAACATGACGACGGGGGGTGAAGAGCTCCCGTCCTCCCGCGGACACTCCCACAGTCCGCCGCTCGACCAAGCGTCGTCTTTGCCCGTAAAGGACGCGGATTTCCCTTTCGCTGTTGTGACACTGCAGGTGTGTTACAGTTCCGGCCACGTGACTGGAATCACATGAAGTATCACGTGACAAACCAGTCTGTTTTTCTTTGCTTATTTTGTACAACTTATCCAAGCAAGCAACAGACCGTGTGCAATCTGCACAGACGGGATTTATTCATGATGTATGATTCAGTTATACGAGGAGAGATTTTCAGATAATTCCAAAAACAATCATTATTAAAGTCAATCCATACAGGAATCAGCATCTTGTAATGGCAAACATATATGTAACCCTTCAAATGTTTCATTGTACCGTCCCAAGTGCTGGGACGGCGTGGCCACGGGAAAGAATTGAGCTGAAGTGTCTCACAACGATAAGACGTCCCCAGTCTCCTGTTGGATGGAGGCAAGTTTCTGTTGATGCCATCGTGTAACTGATCCGAGGTAGAGGAAAGGCCTTTCTTGGCGTTGGTGGCAGTCTACTGAGCACGTAGCTGTTGTGACATATTTGATTCTGAGCCTTTATTTTTATTTTACGATTGTACAAAAACTCTCCAACACGCAAAAAAGACAAAAAACAAACTGAGTACATAGTGGTCTTATAGCATATACCGTTGAACTGTTTGATCTATTTATTGACAGCGTATCGTACGATGATCAAAAGTGAGTCCTACATTACTTTGTTTGGGGCGCACTCATGTGCATTAATGGAGTTGTGCATTGGTCATATTCTCTTGAACAAAGCAACATTTTAAATAATCCACGCCGTCTTTGTTTTTTGCCACATCTACAAACAGACATCATTTACAATAAGGATTTCTTCTTTGACCAGGTTCACTCATCTTCGGTCAAAAATACCTATTAAACACGTAAACTACTGGAGGTATAACAAGACCCTGAGTTGTCCTCTTTCCCAAAAGATCAGGGCTTTAACTGAATAAAAAGAGATTACAGTAACAGAAACAGAAGAAATGGCCATTGCACACATACAAACATGACCACAATTAAAAGACTCAGGTTACAGAAATATGGCACACAATTGTCTCTAGTCCTTTTAGTATGACTATTATATAGAGCAAATTTATATTCATTACCTGATTTGATATCCCTCACCTCCCACACACATTACAGTAAAGCAAGGACAGAGATGTCCCTCGACCTAAAGACTCACTCGGGGTTTTGTTACGGCGCTCTGACGTTAGACTACTCCCTCCAGTTTCAGACACCAGGCGTTCCCGGGAGAAGCTGGCATTAAAGGCATCATCACCACAAGTCCAGCTGTTGGCGTCAGCGGGGCCCACTTCAGTGACACGTTAGGGTTGTCGAGAAGCGTAACCTGTGTGAGGTAACGTGGACATTTTAGCATTAGGACATTTTAAGACAGCTGGGATGAAACCTTGCAGGCTTAAAGATGTACGAGTTACCGTCGTGGCTCCCGACATCTTTGGCGCTGGGAGCTGAAGAGATTGTTTGGACGGCCAGTCCAGGAAAATGGCATAAACGGTGTTGTTTCTGGCGGTGTACCTGGAACGGGAACAAAAAGAAAAGCTTATTTTACATCACAAAATCCTGTCCAGGGTAGATTTCTGGACAATGACCTGCTTCCCAATCTCACCAGACAGGGAGAGTGCTGTTCTCCTTCTGGACCCTCCAGGGTTTGGAAGAATAGATGGCCTCCCCGTTGATGCCCAGCCAGACGCCCAGTCCCCTCAGCCTCTCCTCAAACACCGGGGCGATCATGCCGTCGGACATCGGCCCAATGTTCAGCAGGTAGTTGCCACCCATCGCCACCACGTACACCATGTCCTGTGGGGGGGAGGGAGGGGGCGTTAGAGTAACACGAAACGACTGGACGTACACAAGTCCTAGGTGATGACCTACTGTGACCCTTCACCTTGATGATGGCTGGCAGGTCCATGACCTCGGGCAGCTTCATGTTTCTTCGGTAGCCCCAGGAAAGCGTGTCGATGGACTGGCATTTCTCCCATTTGTGGTCCGGGAGTTCGCCGGGCGTGTACCTGTCCGCACAGTTGTAGTAGCCCCCGTGTTTGCAGTAGCAGCCCTTCCCCCACCGGTCATTGGTTACCACCACGTCCTGAAGAAACACACAAATGGTTCTCTCGTTAAAAGAAGAAAAATGCTGCTAATCAACAAAACACGTTGTGGTTAACCGAAGTACCAATCAAATGGGACAAAATAAACCGGTTCTGATGAACGTGGTTGGAAAAGCTCGATCCTACTTTAATTGGGCTGTCATTGTAGAGCCAGGCCAGGAATTGGGTGGAGTTCCAGTAGGCGTCGGTCGCCTCCCAGTCCCCATCGGACCAGATCAGATCGGGTTTGTACGTCTTCACAAGGTCCATGAGCTCTGGAAGGGCCTTCTCAGCAACGAAGTTCTGAGTCTTGAATCCGGAGGCTTGGTCAGCCAAGAAGAGCGGGTTGAACCATTCGTAGAGAGAGTGGTAGAGGCCGAAGTGCAGTGACCTGTAAACAGAGACATACGAGTGAATACACAAAGCAGTTTATTCATTTGAATTATTCTCTACCTGATTCATTTCAGATTTACTGAATTCTAGTTAATACAACTTAATTTCCTTCCTTAATTTGCGATACTCACTATAGCGACTAAAATGAGAAAAACATGTAATTGTATAAAACAAAAGCATCTGCTCACTTCTTCCTGATGGCTGCAGCCAGTTCTCCCACCAGGTCCCGATGAGGACCGACATCCATCGAGTTCCAGTTCCAGGAGGTGGGTGAGGGCCAGTTTGTGAATCCTTCGTGGTGTTTGGACGTGAATACGACGTACCTGCAGAAGCACGTGCAAATGAATGCTTTAAAACACACGACAGACAAAGAAGAGGGTAGAACTTCCTGGTTAACAGCTGGGTCACGAGCTGCATACTGGGCGTAGCTAAAAAATACACCCGTGCAGAAGTTTAATTATGAGAATCTAAAATCATTTTTTTTTAAAGTCGTTAAAAATGTAAAAAATATACAAATGTCACCATACATTAGGTGTGCATCACTCTGTTACAATCAATATTGTTTACAATAATCAAATCGAAGCTTGAATGAAGCTGCAAAACACACTGTACACTAATACACAGTTACAACAAATCATATTTTAAGAGTAGGATATTTTTTGTGTGGTTCTTACTCCTGCTAAATATGATCAGTTATTATTTGGTAGTTATGAACAACATTGGTGAAGGTCTCCTGTTTGTTAATTTATCGGTTGGTATCTTTACTTTTGTTTAGCTTAGAAAGAGGAACTGAGGGAAATCGAATTTTTTTTTTTTTAAATGAACTGCGAAATAGTAATGGGGTGACACCTGCGGCAGGTGTGACCGATCGCAACGAGGCAGACTCGCTGCAGGTACAAACCAGCTTGGTAGTAGAACAGGTTTGTACACAATTATGGATCGACTAGAAAAACAACCATACCGTGCTCCAGAAGCTTTGAATATCTCTGCCCAGTTATCAGCGTCGAAGAATTCTGCGCGAAACTCGTGCGCAAAATCCGCGTATTCGAAGCCCGGTGGGTAGTATTTCTTCATGAAATCAACTTCCGCTGCGCGCTTCTGCTTCCACCAGCACCAGAACCACTCGCTGAACCGCCCGAAGCCGGGGACCGAGAACACCCCCCAGTGGACGAAGATCCCGACCTTGGCCTCGTCGAACCACGGCGGCAGGGGCCTCGCATCCAGGCTGGCCCAGTCGGCCGTGTAGCGCGCCGCGGCCCCGGGGGGGGCCCCGACCTGGAGGAGGCTCAGACACAACGCGGGTAGGAAGCACGCGGCCCGCATCTCAGGTGTCACGAGCTGCTGCTGCGGTCGGACGGATCCGACTGACTCCTTCCTGCCTGATGCGTTTGGGTAAACACCTGTGAAATGTCGAGGGGAAGGACCCACTGTGTCGCCGCCCCACCGACGGCAGCCCTCACGTGGGACTAAATCTTTTTTTTTGTGCAATTCCAACAACCGTACAAACAAACCCTGAAATAAAAAATAAAAAGGATATGACTGTTTTCTTAATGTGAAGTTACAAGCCTGCGCCTTCAATGAATCTTTCACGCAGACAGAATCATTTTTCCGGGTTGGGGTTAAGCCGCCAGAGGGCGCCACCGGCCCCTCCGCTCAATCAGTGTTACACAGTGATTGAAGGAATAGTGTTTAGTGTTGATTCAACACCGGGGCCCACGTTGCTTCAGCACAGCTTTTGTTAAAACATCACAATAGAAATAGAAGGTTTGCACCGTTGGAATTGGATCAATGGATATTAGATTAGATTACGCAATGGACAAACAAGTCACAGCATTGACATGTTTTATTGCACAACTCAGTATTCTGCAGAGGGGCCTAAACATATGCAGCTTACCAAAATATTCACAGTCCGTTAGCGAACACCGTTGTGTCAAAGAAGGAGGGTGGGTCATTTATGCAGATTCAAAATGTAACGGTATTCTCCTCTGGCATGTAAGACTGTTGGGACTTTAAGCAAAGATACATTTTATTATATTCATTATTTTGGGGCCCAAACTATTTGAAATGTAAATAATACATTTGGTTTTTTAGGAATTACACTCATTTTATTCCTAAAAAAGTAAATGAATGAAAGAAGAAACCATATGAAAAGTGACTCCAAACTTCAACAATTACACAATGCATTTGTTGCAATAATATTCTCAATTCACCCAATATAACCTCAAAGAAATTTGATAAATTAACAGATATTTTCGCTACATGTGACAGCCGTATTCTCTTTATATGCAGCACATTAAAATACATTTGGAATTGAGCAAATGTGAAAAGAAAAAAGAAATTAAAGACCAACTTTGTTATAATAAATATTTTTAAAACCCTGGAGCAAATTGCAGACAGGCGAATTTATGGAGCATAACATCTCCAAAAGGATTGTTGTTTTCTGGTTACAAATGATTCAATAAATAAGGCCTTCTTACAGCAATCGCTCCACATTAATAACCGTACAGTGACCTCGTTGCCAATCAAAAAAAGGCCAACATGGTTGCTGCTTGCAATAAAGTCCAGTTTCAAATTGAAGGCAATTTATTACCTTGCAGACATAAACCGAAGACGGCCACATTCTCGGACTTCCATCCATTTTCCTAAACCTTCAAATGTCTGTTGAAATCCTAACATTTGCTACCACTGGTTATCACACATCTTGCTCCTGCCAACGGCAACCCCCTCAGGAGCGCCGAGACCGAAAAGTTGCAGGTGGCACGTTCCGATCTCAGGACGGCACGTGGCGGACCCGCCTCCATGTCCGTATTCAAATCCCATGTTTTTTTCATCTTTATTGGGAAATTGACACAGCGACTTAAAAGTAGCACAGCGTCTTAAATAAAGTGATGGATGTTTTTCATCGTGGCAATTTCCTTCTTTGCTAAATGCAAGGCTTTAGAAATGAGAATAAAGGGATTCTGTATTTGCTCATATAGCCTGAAACTGGTCATTTGTACGTACTCTGACTCATTTCATTGAGCCGTCACTGCAAAATTGGTTCTTAAGTTTAATTTTTCCAGTTAAATAGCACGCACGGTTGACACACATGTCCCTCTCTATTGTTTCAGCGTCGCCGTGCCACTCCAATCATCACTCCTTCCACCGTTTGATCTCGGCGTCCTGTCTCCAGCGATGCCCCTAATCAGAGTGACCGTGTGGCCCGACGCCCCCAACTGGTTGGAGATGTAACAAAACAATAAGAAAATGTCTCTTACAGCAGCGGTCACAGTTAGACAAGTATAACAGTTCAAGAAATGGGTTTCTTCCCCGAGTGCAGCACGCTACAGATTCACCGCGTTTCCTACGTCGGTGCAGACAGCCAGCTGCCTTTCAAGCATCCGTTTCTCCACCAAGTCCTCCACCCTGCCGACCTCCACCTCATCCACATCGTCCATGAAGCTGGACCAATCCGTACCCACGTCTGTGCGCTCCATGGACTCGGCTTGGCCGGCGGCGGAGTCGTCGTTAGTGGTCGTCACGCAGTTGCAGCCGTCGCAGATGCCAAAGCGCCGGAGACCCGGCGTGACGCCGGATCCCGTGAAGGTTCGCCTGCAGCTCTTGCACGGCATCGGCCAGTTGTGCCTATGGACCTGTTGGTGGTCAACACAGTGAGAGAGGAACATAAAAACATGCTGTGTGTCGTTTTGCACAAGCAACTCCAATGTTTTCAATATTACATAGGAGGCAGAATATGTGCTTATCACTGAGCAGCAGTAAGAAAATTCAACTCCAGACAGAGACAGACAGCTGCTCTTTACAGATAGTTGCTCACAATCATTGGCTTTAACTGGTCCTGTAAAAACCACTACATCTTTACTGTGTATTATTGACCATTTAATTCTGCAGCGACCGCGACGCAAATGAAAAACAACGAAGGGAAAGATAATTGAATTCGTAGTGGGAATTTGCACCGCCGCAATCAGAAATGCGTTATTATAACTAATAAAAATAAATGGGACAATCGTTTTCAAGAACTGAAGTCTGATTCTGTTCGACTGCAATGTGGCTGACCATAAAAATCTTCAAAGTCTGAGTCACTTGGGATCAGAGTGCAGTTCTTTTGTAAATACCAAATCACAGCAACAAACCGTGATGCAAACAGCCTTGACTTCAATTGGAAAATGGAATCAATAATCATTTCAAAAAGATCATGAGACATGTCAGCAGGTTTTTTGGTAAATAGGCCACGTGATGTAGAGAGCTCACAGTAGCTAACCAAAAAGGCAGGTAGTGGTTTGCACGATTCCTTTCTGCAGCCACTGTGGGATGACGACCTTATGATGAGTTCTTACATTGAGGGCGTGGCTGCGAAGGTGCTCCTGCCGCGTGAACCTCTTGCCACACATGGGACAGGGGAAGGGCCGCTCTCCTGTGTGGCAGCGGATGTGTCGCTTCATGATTCCCTTCTGCTTGGCGGTGTACGGACAGAATGGGCACTTGTGGAGTTTCACCTGCACTACCAAACCGTCGCCTGCAGGAGGAGAGAGAGGCCAACAGTTCAGATTTACCTCGATGCTCGAGAACCCATTGAAGGTGAAATAGTTCCAGTTCTATTTTCTTTTCTTGAAGCCCAGAGAGGAACGTTAGTCGCTTTAGGCCACCGGTTGAAAATTACCTGTTTCCTCTCCAAGCCAATCGGACTGGATCTCCATGATAGATGATCCCACAAACCCTAAACCTTCATCCATCCTGCCTCCTGCCGCGCTGCTACCTGGTCCTTGGGTAAAATGCTGTCCCATTCTGTCCCCCAGCGGACTGGGGCCTTCACCTTTGGCCAGCATCTCCATCAGCTGCCTGGCATTAAAAGAATGGCTGTATCCCGAGGGAGAGCGCTCACTGGGAGGAGAGGAAGGGAGTAGTCTGCTGTGATGAGGGTTGTGGAGCGAGGGCCCAGGATATGAGGCCAGGTCTTTGGTGTCGGGGGACTCCTCGAGCTCCTCGTCGGGGTCGTACTCTATCTTGGGGTTCACCAACTCGGGGGTCAAAGTCGACGATGCAGAGGAAGAGAGGTTAGTCTGATCCATGTGTCCTTTTTGTTCTTCACTCCCAGATGCAAATTCCTCCCTGGAATGGTAGTCGCTGTCCACGTCTCTGCTTTTGCCCGGAGTCTCGTCGACAGGGATGGACGAGGGGGTTCGGGCCGAGGTCACAGACTCCGGACCTAAACCCGACCCTCTATCGGCCTCTGCAGCCTGCGAATGAGGCTCCGCAGCCTCCGACCCACAGGCGACTGTCACAGCAGGAGTGCCACTGTCTGCAGGACCCGTCCCTGCATCCTTTCCCATTTTCCTCTCCTTCCCCTTGTTGCATATGTCCAATGAAGAGTGGATGTACCCCTTACAGAAGTTTACCAGATCGGTCATCTGCAGGTAGCTGCCTGCCGACATCACCTCAATGACATTGTTTCTGTTCAGGGCCAAGCGGCCAGAATAAAGGAAGTCCAGAATAATCGAGAAGGCATCGGCGGTAACGATGTCCAGCGATGCTGTGCTGCAGCGCTGTCCGTTATCCTGAAAACGGATAAAGCGCTTGTCAGTAGGTGCAGAGGATGCCGTCCCGTAAAGAGCTCTGCTGTTAACGGTCAGCGAGAATGATCGAGAACTAACTGTTACATCTACAAACTACACCAGACGCCCCCAAACCCAAGAGGAAGTCATATATGTCGAATTATTTTATAAAAAGGCTCCATGACATGTATAACACAATAGTAAAACTATCTCAGCCAAATTGTCAGATTTGTTTTCCATGTGCCGTCCTCACCTGCAGATAGTGGACCAGGAGGGCTCGGAAGTAGCCGCTGCCCGCGAACAACACGTTGCGATGGGCCTTGAAGACGCGGCCTTCAACGAGGATGCTGCAGTCACAGAAGAAGTCCCGCCTGCGCTGCTCATTGAGCTCCAGCAGCAGTTTGGGCAGGTAGCACGGCACTTCCATGTCTGCACTTCGGCGACACCTGGCAGGGAGGGAAGCAGTCCTGGATGGGTCAGATTCAACAGCACAGAGGTACACTGAGGTCCTGTAGTGCCAAACAGTTCATGTGGAACCACTGAGCACATCAGCTGTGATCCTATGTGACAAATGTACTCTAAATGTATTGTTTTGGGGACAATATTTGCTCTGCGATGAGAATATATGAATAGCTGTTAGAGTAGACTGACGTTAGTTAACGTAAGTCAACATGGGTTAAAGGGAAAAGAGGAAAACAGTTGACTAACGTTAGTAAGTTAACTTCAGCCCATGTACGCATGACGTTTGTGTACAACGTGTTGAACTGAAGTAACCAACGTTACCAACCTGATCCAATACCATCTACACAAACCAAATAGAGACACGTCGACCAGGAAAACAAAACAGCCGAACAGCTCTACCATGTGTTTGCATACAAGCTAACAAGCTAAGTAACGGAAGCCAGTTAGAGAGACTTTATTACACAAAACCCCAGCGGCTGCACTTCGCGCAGCGTGTGGAGACACACAAACAATAGGGCTCACCTTTGGAATTACGCGACTGAACGTAAGAAAAACGTTTTCATGACAAAAGGATTAGCACGGCTCATTGTCCCGTTTTGACACATAAAAAACTTCCGCTTTCAGCAATGCGTGACGTTTCATCGTTCGTCCAATCGGTAACCGAGGGGGCGTGGTCCATTCCAGCGCCTGCATCTGGGTTTAATAATGATAAAACAACAACGCTATCATGCTTTACAACACGGTAACATAATATGTCCATAGAATAACAGAAAAATAACAAGAAAAGTATTATGGAGAAAAATAAGAATATTGAAGTTAGTAAGCATGTTTGCTGCATGAACATACAGTGTGCCACAACAACAGCGATGTCTTCTACTTATCTTTTCTACATCATTAGAGGTGAGTTCAAATGTAAAGATGAAAACTCAGAAAGTATTTTGCTTAAAATACACTCTCTATTCAACCACCTGTCTTGATTACCCCAAATAAACAAAATATACAGACATAAAATGATTACAGGCATTTTTATGTTTCTAAAATGTATTGTGGGTGGAGATTGATTTGCAAACCCAGAATACTTAGAGGCTATAATTGTATTTGCAAACTTATCAGATCCTCTTTTTATAAGATATGATGAGGTATAAGGTATTATGACAAAAAGACCTTGGAGATAGCAGAATTATCTGAATTGGTAGTTGCAAAACAGTGGCACAAAGTACGATTGAGTTGGTGCACGGTGTAACAGATCGACACTTTATTTTTAACAATGTTCCATTCAACTGTCATCAACAACAACATCAAAACAGTCAGCTCTAAAATGCACTAAAACACGGAGAGAAATGCACCAATGAATCTCCAAAATAATCTTCAGATGACAGCAGGTCTTCAGCGAGTTTTTGACAAAATGTTTGACAAAAATCAAGTATACACGTAGGCTAATCTGAGAAGAGATTCACGGGTAGAGAAAAATCAAACATGCTGTTATTGCTGTAACCACCTTCACGTGGGCTAATTGCATTGTATCGTTTTAACTGCGCATTCATACACAGGGCCTTTTTTTCTTTGCACAAACCATTATTTCACCGCGATTTCCATGAAGTCTCAGTAATGTCTGACTTTCTCCACTGCGGAAAGTCATTGATACAACAAAGATGATGTTGATCTGCAGAAAGAGCTTCAAAGTGTCACCCTCCTTCTAATATCATGTTTAGCATGCCGCTGCACAGCCGCAGGCCGGCCGGAGCCTGCCCACATTGTCTGCTCGGGAATACTTGTTTATCTGCTTTCCATTTCGTGGGGGGAAAATAATTCCTCTTTTTATTTTTTATTTTTTTCAGACACTACAAGCGTAAACAAGTAGTTCCTTCAGAGCCGCGCCACACCCTCTCAGCACAATCCACAGCGACTTATTTGCAACTCATTTGTTTCCGATATTTTCCCATGGCAAACAGGGCGAATACAAAGGCCTCGTGGAGGCCCGAATGAAACCGCAGGCTGGGCGCACATGAGCCTCCGCGCTCACCCTCTTTTGAAAACAAAATTTATGGCACCTCATAAAAGTTCTATTCACGCTTATAAGCACTAAATATAAACCAGCATGAACCCGCTGGGTTTAACTCGGTCCTCGTAAACCTGACCTGATGGCGCGTTGCGTTGCGGGCCGAAGGTAGAGCGACCATTGACCCCGGCTGCCCGCCGCGAGCAAAGCGGGAGTGCAGCTTGAACTGTGAGGTACATCTCTAATGGCCGACCTTCTTCCTGCTCCTTTTCTGGCCTTTTGTTTTTTTGTTATTTGTTTTCATATGGGCAGGAAACCCCCTCTACAACACTAGCAGGGCCCGTGTGGCGGCTTAATGCTGGTTTTACACCCATCGACCTCCAAGGACCACATCACATTGACCATTTAAAATCTGGGTTTTGGCTAACTAGATGCAGCGATGGCTGCCACGCAAGGCCGCGTCCAGATTCGGGCGCTCGCTCAGTCGGCGCGCTGCCCGCTGTGAGACCCACAGCCGCCACACAGAGCACCCCGGCGGCACCCCTCCGGGTCCCCGCGGTCCGCGCCTCAGCACATAACAGCCACTTAGGCCGGCCTTTTCCCCGAGGCCGACACGACACACCACGGTGGCAGCGCCAGCCACAGAGCGGGCCTGATTAAAGAGTAGGGACAATGGAGGGAGAGAGAGAGAGAGAGAGAGACGTGGTGGCATTTTCCATCCCCGCCGCTGTCTCCCGTGGGGGGACCAAGTATGTGCCGTGAAACGTTTGAATTATCCCAGAATCTCTGGAATTCAGACAGAGGCACCGCGGAGAGGACCCTCGACCGGGGATGAAAGAGCTCTGAGAGGAGTGCGGTGGACTGGTGGTGAAGCTGAGTATGTGTGTGTCGGGGTGTTTGTGTGTGTGTGTGTGTGTGTGTGTGTGTGTTTTGAAAGAATGCTCAGCAAAAGATACAGACAATGTTTGAATTTGAATCACATTTACTTTCATGGCAACTCGCCTCAAGATGTCGTTAAGAGAAACGCCATGTCTGAGGGGAATGAATAGACGACGCACACATGGTGCGTGCGTGTGTCGCCGTCCTTTTATCCGTCATGGGATCAGTTAATGCAAATGCCAATCAATGGTAGTCTAATAAAGCGGGCGCCCATCTTGGAGACGCCACTCTCCTTTTGTGGTGGCAGAGGAAGAGACAACAAGCCGGGAAAACCTCGCCTCCTCTCTGTAATTATCACTCAATGTCCTTTGGTAATCTGGAGACGTCTGTCTCTCTCTCCCAGTCCTTTCTTCCCTCGCTGGAGAGTAAATGTATCGCAGTCTGAAATAAATCTAGCCTTTTTTATTATTGTATATTTAGCTCCAGAACCAGAGTAGTAAATGGAGCCGTCCCAGGCCACAAGCTTCCGGTAGCGCCGTTCCTCGGCTCTGGCTGTCCGTCTTTGCCACAGCCACGTCCCCAGATCAAAGCGTCCTGCACTATTTACAGTCCGCCAGTCGTCCTCAAGCGTTGACCTCGAGCCAAGACACAATAATGTGTTTGTGCGTGAGCCGCATGCAGAGGGAACTGAATCAGTTCCCTGCACAAGTATGAATATCGTACGAACATCTTTACTTCCCTGAATGTGTATCTGTCCACATCCACATTTCTCATCACGTATCTGTAATGTATTTGTGGTTCGTGCCCCGGTGCCTCTTCGGTTGCCGGTGGTTACAGGAAAAACGATTAAATTAATTAAATCAATGCAGCAAATGATTTTATTTAAATTAGAAGTAAACACATTTTCCTGCTGGGGCCAGAAAGCCAGTCAATCAGGATTAACAAACTGCTGCTGTAGTTCTCTTTAGTGCATTTATTATAACTAGTGAGCTACCAATCAAATGCTCAGTGACAACCACACCTCTTCCACCACTCTGCACAAATGCAAACTTGACCAAAGTAGCCAAAACATTGGCAATTCAATTGTGTGAAACGCGTAAACAATAACCCCTTGTATTTAATTAATAGCGTTGTGTATTATCCATTCATAAACACAAGGCAGTGTTGATTAAGTTCGTCTGATCAAACAGACTCATTTGGAATCAGTAAAAAAAAAAGAAGAAGAAGAACGAAAGCATCTGTTATTTCAGTTCTGTCAATTTGAATCATAAGAGCATCTATCAAGCCCAATAAAAGAGGAATCGGCTCCCTCGGCATATGGAATGATGCTTGTCGTTACCCTCATCCCTCCTCCACCAAAGTCTTCTTGTCTTTCTCGGCACACTCACTGTAATCCCCGTTCTGGGAACACTAAACATTTCCCTGTGGTGCAGCGGCGGCCAGTTTTTTTATACTGGTTTTTAGGGGCTTACGCGTGCTCTTGGGAGCTGCCGTAGGGACGAGGTGTTGGCTGGATGCCACCCTGATAAGGCCGTAATCTGAGGTGTAAACTCAAATGGGGGATTTGGGAAAGTGAGAGGCTGTCAGAGAGCTGCCGCCCTGAACAGGGACGCAGCACCGTGTCTCCGAGGGAGCTTTTTCTGAACCAACCTGGTGTCCAAATATACAAACCCTTTCAAGCCGACCAGGAAACACATGCATTTGTTTCCTGTTTTGAATTCCTCCTTTTGTACTTTTCCTTTCACAGTTGCAAAGCTCCTCCACTGAAAGCCCTTTTCTTTGGACACTGACACAAATAGAAAGCCGATAGGGGAATTAGGCATAGCATGACTCCATGCAATAAGAATTAGTCTCCTCCATAAACTTGAATGACTGTCGGCTTCTAAGTAAAAGCGCTTGGGCGAAACTAGTTTTACAGTGGCTAATATTAGCCGGGTCCAGTTATCAAATGACGCACGATCGCATGGCTGAGGGGACACGGCGGGTTAGCCTTTGGGACTTTTTATTTTTCACTTCCCCCCTTTTCTCCTCTTTTTTTTTTTTTTTTGTCTTCTTTGCGGCTCATAAAAGATTGTCCTGCGTGTGATGTGGCGGCGGAGTGCAGTCAGAATGAAGTGATTACGGACGAGGACCGGCATGCTTTTGAGTCATGGCACCGAACGACTTTCTTCGAGCCCTTAAAAATAGTAACAGTTTACTATTTCTTCGGTACGTGCGGAGCACTTTGGGGGCATCCTCTCCTGGCTCTTTTGGAGACTGGAATCATAACCAGATACAACGCCCCCCCAACCTCCCTCGTTTCTTTCATTTAGTTATTTGGAGTTTGTTTAATCTTGTGATGAAAATTGGCCTAGCGTGGGAAAGGCAGAATTCTTTTGGGGGTAGGTCTTGTTGTTTTATAGTTGTGCGAATTGCTGTTTGGTTGTTGTTTTTTCACTCCAGGAAGAAAAAAAAGTGCCAGTTTGTGCCAAAACCTCATGAAGCGAAGATAAAAAAAGGAGATGAGTGAGAGGGAGGCCGCAACACCACGACAAAGATATGGGCTGTCTAAGCAAAGAGCTTTACAAATGACAATCTCCAGGGGGAAAAAAAAAAGGGGGGGAGACAACACGAGGGAGGACTGGAATGGAGTGGGGGAAGGAAAAGAGGAGAAACAAATGCGGATTGATTGGTAGGAGGCGGAGGAGGGAGATGGGTATTGGGGGGCTGGGTGTTAACGCGTAGCAGCTCAGTGGGGTGGGGGGGGGGGCAGATGAGAGGGGAAACATTCCCCCTTGCCCACATTAAAGACATAAAAAAGAAAACAAACAGAAAAACATGTCTGACATAAAGAGGCTGGTTTCCGCGGCGACAGCACAATGGCTGCCTGTGGCTCTCGGGGCCCTCGCCGTCCCGTCTGGGGCTCGGCACCAGCGAAAGTCACCGCAGTCACAGGGCCCGTCAGTGTGTGTGTGTGTGTGTGTGCGCGCGCGCATGTGTGTGTGTGTGTGTGTATGTGTGAAACATGGGGAATGTCATCACAGGCCTAGTGCTGTGGGAACCGCCATGAAAGGGACCCCACTCGGAAGCCACAAAAGTTCCTTTCTGCTCCTTCTCCTCGGCTTTTAGCCTCTTTATTTATCCGTGCGTCGGGGAGCCGGATGAGGAGGGAGGACTTTCTCTCGCTCGGCCCGTTCTCTCGCCGCGTCTCTCGCTCTCTCTTGCGAGCAGCGTGACCCACAACTGCAGCCCTGCCGCCCTGCTGACTCCTCAAATCACAGCAGGCCAACATCTCAAACGTACACGCTGCCCGTGTCCGCCGCTATTTCTCCTGAGGTTTATTCACACCTCATATAAGCTCTATCAGATAATGAGAAAAACAAAAACCACAATAGCGCTCTTTGACAGGCTCCCTATGTGACAAACTTTGCGTTCTCAGGAATGCCTCGTATATCCAGGTTATTCCGAGTGAATTGTGGCGACGGCCAGGCAGGCACTGCCACGGGTCCCAGGCATTCCTTATGCGTCTGAAGGGCAGATAATTCCCTCGTAGGCTCCAGCCCAGACAGTGCCAAGCTACTCCGGTGCCAGTTCCCATGCCAATCCAATCCCGACCGCGGTGACTGAACGCCCAGCCACAGGCTGACTGCTACGAAAGCCTCATACCAATAAGAAACCTGCTGATTTTTTTTGGGGGGGGGGATGTCAATAGCACTCGCATGCAGGCAGGGCTGCTTTTCACTTTTCATATTTCCCTCAGCTGGGATTCTAGACGGTGAACAGACGTTTCCTGAAGAGTTCATTTTGATACCATGTTGTTGAAAAGGAAAATGTACAAACACCAATGGAATCCTAAATGGCTCTCTGTATTTCTTGAAGATTAAAAGCCTGGTTATGAAGTGCGTCACGATGACAAAAACATGAATGCGAATGAATATGGCAATCGGAGGCAATTAACATTTTTTAATCTAGAGGGTCGCTATGTCAGTTTGTTGTGATTCCACCATCAATGCAGTACATGCTGTATCATAATGGGTTCTTAGTACCTTATGAACCATCCCGACCGCTCAGGTCATCTGGGACGGGTCTCCTCTCTGTTCCCAGAGTCCGAACCGAACAAGAAGCAGCGTTCAGTTCTTCTGCTCCCAGAAAGCTGCACGTCTGCTGAGACTCTCAGCGGCTTCAAATTAAGACTGAAGACTTTTCTCTTTGCTGCTGACTTTGAATAAACCAGATTGAAGGATGGAGTGGATGATTTTTAATTAACTGCACTGCAACTTTTATTCTCGTTTATTGTCTGTTATTACTTTTATTATTTTTAAATCTCCTTTTCTTTTGCCTGAAGTTTTTTAATGGTTTCAAATGAAGCACTTTGAATTGCCTTGCTGTTGACATGTGCTGTACAAATGAATGTGCCTTGCCTTACAGATGTGAAACCACCGTATCAGCGCTTTTAAACAAGTGGTTTCTGCACGTATTGGTTATAAGAAAAAAAATCAGAAATCTCAAAAATATTAAGTGTCTTCTTACATTGCAGTAATTATATTTTGTGGGCTAGAAACGTTGCTGGAAGTTGGCTTTCATATAACCACGGTCAACAACGCAGTGAAACATACGGCGTCATTCAATATGACATGAATGGAGCGGAAAAAAAGTGAGAAATAAAATCTCTTGGTGAGGCTGGGTCCTTTTCAGGGACCTTCAACATTAGCAACAGTCATGCATCAGAGCCCAATATTGCAGGCTGAGTGTTTGCGTCTTATAAATTGGGGGTACGCGGCTGTCCACAATCGTGTGAGCGAGATGCGTGTTTGCTTATATAAATCAGTTGTGTCTCTGTCCCTGAGCGCTCACGCTTTCCCATTCAAGTGGGGCATGTGTGTGCGGGCGGGCCCAAATGGTAAAAGTATGAGCTTTTTAATTTCAATAAGGGACTTTCCCTTTTTGTGTTCTGGAGGGATGGGGGGGGGGGGGGGGGGGGGGACGACTTGAAGTGGCCGACCGAGATCACCAGAAAACGCCCGGAATTCCATCCCACCGTCCAGCGACAGCTCTTTCCCCCTCGCTTTCTGTTCCCCTAATGTTCCTCACACCCGCCCCCTCCCCTCACCATGAAACTGTTTCTTATTTTGAACTTATTTATTTGTTTATCTAACCTCTTAATCACTTCCCAATGCATGCGTGTTTCTGTGCAACTTGCCCCGTCCTCCTGGGACAACTGGGACCGCGGAAACTTGGAGTGTAACCAGAGGGCTTTCATGAAAAACGACTACAAAAGAAACAAGAAAGATTGACAATAAAGAGAAGAAAGTTGTCCATTGAAGAAACAACAACGGAGAATAGACTGAAGCCTGACTCCATAGACGTCTCCCTTCCTTCAGACTCTTTCTTCACTGTTTTCTCGTGCTGAAATGAGATCCAGATCTGAATTAAGGAATGATTGGTAATGAAAGGGGGGTGTTTCTCTTTTCTGTTCGTCCTGACTCATAGCTTACTCACCACACTAAAAGCCCCCTGGTGATGGTCACACTGATTAGTGACACTCGGGTTTTGCAAACACACGCACATGCACATGTTTTAAGTTAGTTCATTACTTTACACACGGCCTATGATATTACTGAATGCAGGGCTCACTTCAATGGAAGAGAGATTAACAGAAAAACAACGATGTTGAAACGTTTATCTTCAGAAAAGAGACAACAAGAAAGACGCATCTGGAGTAAGAGACAAATCACAGATCTGCTCATGTATATTTATATATACATTGACAAAGCTTGAGGACCAAAATAAGTGTCAGAAAGAAGGCCTCGCTTGTTCCACAAAACACACACAAAGATGCTGCACTCACGCATTGTAGTATGTTTAAACTAACACACCCTTCCAGTCTGCGAGGCAGGAAGAGACACACTCAGCTGGGCATTGTGTGGAAGGGGGCCATGCCACTTGGCCCCCTCTCTGTCTTTCACACACATATGCACACAACCACTAGGTCAGTCAGGCAGCGCTCCTAACAACGGGCGCCTGGTTTCCATGGCAATCTGTACCAGCAATCTTCCCACGGTGGCAGCGGAACCGAGCGCCGTGTGACTGCGTGCGCGTGTGCCTGTGCGCGCGCGCGCGTGTGTGTGTGTGTGTCTGTGTGTGTGCGTACGAGAGAGAGCAGTCGGCAGGGAGCACTATCTTGTCCACTGAAGGGCCCAGATGTTCAGACACTCACTGGGCCGACCCTTCTCTTGACCCTTCAGTACCTGCCCTCGTCTCTGCACACACCGACGCACACGCGCGTCCGGGAGAGGCTGAGACGGACCTCAAAGGTCTCGCTTTCTCCATTTGCCGAAATTACTCAAGACCACGCTTATATACAGTGCCGAATCTTTGTCAGCAGTGGCAACTTTTGTAAATCTTTATTTAAGAGCTGTGGCTCCCAACAAGGGGGAGAGAGGGGGGGGGGGTTGTACACGGATTGTTATTTTATAACCTAGTGAGTGGTATCTGAGCAATATGTTTGTTTACAAAGTGAAGAGCAGAAAAATATGCAGGATTGTGTTTGCTGTTGCAGTTCCTATAGAGCCATCTTCCCTGTGTCTCCTGCCTGCTGTTTGTCTCGCACGCTCACCCCCTAACAGGTGGTTCGGCGCGTCCATTGTCCAGGTCACCTGTGCGCTGGTGTGAGAGTCCAGCTCCGCGCACTGTCGCACACTCTCTTGTGGATGACGGAGTGTTTTCACAGTCCATCATTCCCACACTCGCTCCCTCCCGCTGCCATTGTTCCACGAAGCGGTGTAATTAAAGGAGCAGAAATAGACAGAAAGGAGGATAGGAAGAAGGAAGGAAGGAGAGCAGGATGGGATGGGAGGCTAATTGACTGAGGATGACTGAGCGAACGGGAGGGGAGGGAGACAAGCTGGGGAAGGCCAGATTAAAAGGGATGGAGGAGGGACAGAGAGAGAAGAGGCGGGGGAGCCCAAACTGGCAACCCTGCCCCAAATGCCAAAGTCCTATTTTGTCATTGGGTGGCTGTGACAGAGAGAGGGAGCCAAGAGAGACATAACAGGGAGGGAGAGCGAGACACTACGGCTGGATGCCAGTGAGAGAGCGCACGGCTGAAGCTGCTTGTGAATTTTCTTAGTTGTCATGGGCCCTCGGGGGTCGATCAAGTGGCACCGCTGACTCACAGAGGACAGGACCGACACACTCACGAAGAGAAATACAAGTGACAAGAAGTAACTAAGGACAACGAGGCTTTTATAAACAACGCAAGCGAGGGGGAGACAAGTCTTCGTAGCGACCGCCTCCGTCCGTCCGCCATCGGCCTGTCCGTCCGCCGGTCTGCAAAGTGCGCGAGGGGCCACAGAGATGAAGAGGCCTCACGACTACAGTTCCCCAGACTCGGACACGGACGAGTTTATCGACGTGGGACAAGAAGACGGCTATTGGTGAGCACCCGCCAGTCGCACCTGAGGACGAAAACACACTTTTGAAGGAAAATGACACGGCACGCGGCTGAAATGAAAAGCCGGAGACACATTTTGTCCTGAACATACTTGGTTGTGAGTTGCTGCCAAGTGCAAAATTGCAGACAGGTTGAAAGACTGTTGGAAAAAGGTCTGTTTTTAAATCTCAGAAGCGGATTTGGCTCATCGTTTTAAAACAAATAACAACTAATATTCTTAAACAATTTCTAGATTCAGCTCCAATATTGACATTTTCTGACAAAAGTTATTTGTCACACTTTACAAAAAGCTGAGCTGTCAGTTTTAAGCATAACTTTAGGCCCCTCTTAAAAGCGCTCCCATATTCAGTGATGTACGCATTGGTTCTCTAAATGAGTCGTGTTGATCATTGCGTGTTTTTACATGAATACAATAAGTTTAGGTTCAAAATGATGGAAGGCCTTTAATGTCTGAAGCATCGAGACATGAAGTACAAATTTCTTTTGTCATTTGAAACTGGTTTTAGAAAATTAATAAGTCAAAATGCAAGATATGAAACACATTTATTTTTCGGTAATTATTATTGAGACAATATTACATTTTGAATCATTTCTTTTTCAGAATAGGAAATTCAGCCTGTAAACTTAACTCTAAAATGAAGACAAAAGCAAGAGAGGAACAACCCAAAATGTAATATACTGAGGAGTTTTACAGCAATAGTTGGAGGCACATTTGTGTTTGTGCGAAGGCATTTATGTCATTAGCAAAGTTCTACTAATATTTGGCTTCATTTGATATTTAATTCCATGTCAAAAATATGTAGTAGTGAATTACTATTTTCAGCTTGTTGTATTAGGGTTATGACATCACTGGGAATTTGATTGTCATGAATTGATACAAATAATACAAATAGTGATATAACTCTAACACTACACATACTATTTGCAAGTCATTATAACAATTGGCTTTTAGGGTGAATTAGTCAACATTTTCTTCTTTAAGCTGGGAGGTTTTGTGACATGCATCCACAGTATATAAGAACACAAGTACTGCGATAAGCGGTAACACTAAAGACCGCTTGGATTAATCCAAACAGAAGACAGACCCTTATAGTCAGCCAATAAAAAATGAACCTAAACAAAAACACACAGCTGAATTGGCAGCCTTCATGTTGAAATCTAATGGAAAAGGCAGCAGCTCTTTGGAAGGGGACGTTTAAAGAAAACTCTAATCCGTCAGACCCGTAAGATGAGAGTTCACAAACAAACACAATCCATATTGAGTGAGTTTACTCGGAGGAGCTGAGATCCCACGCCGCATACAGCCCCCATGCGAGCGAACGCATCACCCCCCCCAGCTATAGAATCATCTTTCTGAAAGTGCTTTCGCTCAGATGGAAAGGGGAACAGCATGTCATTTCACTGAGACTAATATCCAGAAACGCTATAAAGCCAAAACAATGTCGTCTTCCCCTCCTCTCCCGGGACCTCCTCTGCTGTTCTGTGCCCAAAAAACAAATTAGATTGAGGCGAGCTGGTGTGCCATCCAGCCTCTGTGTCATATTAAGGAGGGTAATAATAACAATATGCAGGAGGATCAAAGTTGGCGTGTTTCTCTCCGTGCCAATACCGTCCTCCCCTCATCTGCCTTCCTCTGTCTCTGTCTTTCTGGTACAGCCCAGTCACGGGGTCCATGTCTCCTGGCAGCGCCTCGCAGGTTCTGGCCCGGAAGAAGAGAAGAGGGGTGAGCGGATCGTAGCCTCGGATCTTTAGGATCTTTAGGATCTTTCTCGTGCTGTCGTTTTAAGTCGGCCCTGACTGTTCCTCTGCCGTTGTCGCCGCGCAGATCATAGAGAAGAGGCGCAGAGACCGGATCAACCACAGCCTGTCCGAGCTCAGGAGGCTGGTGCCCAGTGCCTTTGAGAAACAGGTGAGCGCTCAAACACGGTCGCCGCGATTCACCGTCAATCTCCTTTAACGCCGTGAAGTAAGGAAGCGGCTTCCGGAGATCTGATGCAACCACAGTGACGTCTTCCTTCTCTCTGCAGGGCTCATCCAAGCTGGAGAAGGCGGAGATCCTGCAGATGACTGTGGACCACCTGAAACTCCTCCATGCCATGGGAGGAAAAGGTGACAATTTCAAACAGTCGTCTTTGCAGTGTTATTCTTCTTTCCTTTATTGGAATCATGTGACTCCACCACTGTTATTGGCTGTGCGACTAAGCCCTCTCTTTGTCCGTCAGGCTACTTTGATGCGAGGGCCCTGGCAGTCGACTACAGGACGCTGGGCTTTAGGGAGTGCGTCGGGGAGGTGGTGCGGTACCTGAGCTCTCTTGACGGGGAGTCCTCGGACCCTGTAGGAGCGCGCCTCGTCTCCCACCTCTCCCACTGTGCGAGCAACCTAGAACCCGTTCTTTTACAGTCGCCCCCGGCCTCCGCCCTGCCCTTTCCCCCCTGGCCTTGGGCGTCCTTCCCTCAGATCTCCCCCAACTCACCGGCCTCCTCCTCAGGTCCTTTCCCCAGGGGCCGAAGGGATCTGGCCCTGCTGGGGCGCTACCCGTCACCCGCCACCCTCCGCCTCGGCCCCCTGGCTGGCTGCCACCAGGGAGTCCCGCCGCTCCTCGCGCCTACCGCCCTGGCCACCGTGCACAGGTTGCCTTCCCTCGCAGCGTCCCCGGTCCTAGCCCCCTCCAGACCAACCCAGTCGTCTCCTCACAGCGCCACCGGGGCCTCGCCCCTTCCCCTCCCAAACCCTTCCTCCTCCTCCTCCTCCTCCTCCTCTACTTCTACCTCCTCCTCTTGTCCTATTTCATCATCTTCTGCCCCACTGCAGGTCTCTTTCAGGCCCTTCGCACCTCTGGGGTCTCCCACCGCTCAACGCAGGGGCTTGAGTGGACAGGCCAAGTCAGCCCAGGGATGGGCGACTGAGATCGGAGCTTTCTGAGAGTCAACTCTGGGTTTTTCTTTTCCAAATGAACTCCATCGAGGGACATGGAGCCTCCATGTGCCCCATGCAGAAAATACGAAAAGGTTGGAGAAAGACGTAGAGAACCTTTGATGGTTGTCTAACTGTAAGTCACATCAGACTGTGGGGGGAGTTTCAGATGTTCACCAACAATCACGTACAAAAGAAAAATGAAGGAATGTGAAATAATAGAAGATTCTTGTTCATGGTCAAACACATACGAAGTGTCTAACTAAGCCATAACGCTCAACGAAGCGTCCTTTAACTGTGATATATTTTTTTTCCAAAACATTTATACTTTTGATTACTTTTTTTTTTTCAAGCCTAAAGAATGTTGAAAACTCTCTATAAAAACTAAGTGCCTTTACCTTTGTCCATGTTTTGCTCTGTGTGTTTTCTTTCCTGACCGAGAAAACATCAACATGCACTTGCAGCTATCTGCTATAAATACAAATGGAAACTGACAGAAAGGCTGAAAGCTTCGCGTTACTTATCCGTATTAGCCATGTATGCAAACACTGCTCGCATGCCCCCCCCGGCGGCGGTGGGGCAAACAGACCCGTTGCTTTGCCCTCTAATTGGCAGTCCCCCGTAGTTAACTCTGCCCTCGTATCAGTCGCTGCATCTTCCTCTCCTCCGCTGTCGCTCTGCCATTCTTTGGCTCCGATCTTGTGGTGCGCCAGCGGATATCTCTGTCCCTGTTTGTCTGCACCACTGTCTCCTCAACAATGGACAGACAGTTAAGAAGAGGGCAAGAGGGAGGATGGAGAGACCGCTAGAGAGAGAGGGGGGGGGGGGGACTGATTTGGCGTAGACCTTCAATAACAGGGTGGGAGGGAGGCCGGGGACAGGGTCAAGGAGAGAGGAGGAAGGATTGGCCAAGGAAAGGATGAGAAACCGTGCGAAACGACGATGAGCGACAGTTGTAAGGAGTTATTCCTCGAGAAGATCAGCGCACTCGGTCCGCGCCTCGACATAACGTCTCCGCTGCGATGAGAGAGCAGGGAAGAGCCTTCTGCTGGAGGACGCTTTGATCTACTTCAGGATGCAACGTCTGCCCTCTGCGGTCCAAAAGTGTGTGTGCGCTCCGCAAAGTGCATTTTGTTTATTTGAGCGAGTATGCTAGTGTGTGTTTAAGTCATTCTCGTGTGCCCACAGTGTGTGTTTTGTCTGAGTGTGTGTGTATGTGTGTGTGTAATGGCCTGGCGTCAGGACTGAACCGCGGTGGCGGCGTGGCTCTCGTGCGAGGCCGGCCGGCGGTCGGACGGACGGACGGTACGGCGGTGGAATGTTTGCGGAGGGTGCATGCGTGCACACACACACACACACACACACACACCCGGGTACTGAGACAACATACAAACATAGACGCACGCACACACACACACACACACAGGGTGGCTGCCACTATTGTAGCCTCTGAGCGGAGGAGCCAGAGTCACCACCACAGCTTCCAGGAAGGACAACCGCAGTCACACTGCATGGGTTTCCCACGGGGGAGGGGAGGGTGGAGGGGGGAGAGAGGAAAGAGGGGAGGGAAGTGCGCGCATGTGTGTGTGTGTGTGTGTGTGTGTGCGTACGCAGCAGGCCGGCCTTGTGCTTTGAGCTGAAAAAGAGGTAGAGATGCTGTGAGGAGGCAGAAGGGAGGAAAAAAAGAGAAGTGAAATCAGAAAGTGAGAGATATTTCCCCTCTTATGATCTGTGCAGTAGGGGACATTTTCGCATTGTATTGGTGTTACAGCACACAGATGAACTGTTTTGGTTCTTTCTCATCGCTCAGTTTTCAGAGATAGTACAAACAGTACCACCGTACTTAAAAATGATTAGTTTGTAAATCCACAACTACGTTTTGATATTGTCTCTAAAACTCCCTTTGCTCATTATTTGTGAGACATCACGATTGCAGGGATTATATTTGAATATTATTTCACATACTGATTGAACAGTGAAAAACCATGTTGCCTTATTTTGACTAATAGTAGTTTTTTTAATTAAAAGAATGTTTTAATAGATTTCTTGCAACAGTAGGTTGGACTTTATTAATATGGTGCTTTTAGTTTGTGCAAAATACCTTCTGTAAGCAAACATAATAAACAAACTGGCATCAGTTTCGTATATTTCATTATTCACTGTGTCATTACTTCTAAATACTGTAATGACCATTATTACAGATGGTTATTCTCTTAATGAAACATGGTGAACTATGGTGTAAAAACAGAAATATATTTGTGTCATTGCTCAACAAAGTACTAAAACTGTATACCTTTGAAAAGGCATTGCTAATAAGAGCAAAGATTTAAAAAAAAAAAAAAAGGAATATTCAGGTAATTGAGGAGCTTATGTCGCTGCCCTGGTGTTGCAGGAGAAAAGCTTCTTGTTACCTGAAATAAACCAACTGTATACAACAATTAGCCAAAACAGATAGATTTGATTTCGGTAAAAGCAGTTGTGGTGGCGGGCGTGGTTTGGCTCAGCTGCAGAGGGGACGGAAGTTACACGTGCGGATCCTTGGGGGGTCCCGGAATGACGAGGATACAACGGAAAGCTTCGATAACCAACTTTATTTCGTAATTCAGCACAGTCTAAATCCGCCCCCATCGTCATCGTCATCGTCCTCGTCCTCGTCTGGCTGAGTCTCTCCCCCCTGTCGCTGGATCTCCACTACTGAAATACAGTGACAAACGAATGTTGATTTCCTCCACCTTAGGCCAATTATGCGTCCACCTGGCACCGTTCCCTGAGCCACTCCCCGCTCCGTCCCCTCTGCAGCTGAGCCAAACCACGCCCGCCACCACAGCAGTTTTTACCTGTAAATGCAGTTTTACCTGTAAATGTTTGGTGTGAAGACATCGTTTAGAAAAGAGAAAAGGTGACAGGCAGGGTCCTGTGTGCTGGCTCTCTGACACTCCTCAGCGTCTTCTGTGAATAAGGTTCTGTAGTCAGTACCTGGGAAGTCCGAGCCATTATACAGCTGAGGCCGACAAGGCTCTGGCAGACAGAGAGAGTCAAGGAGTGTGGTCATGGATCAATGATTAATACAGTTCCTTAGAAATTCAATAGACTTTTACCGTGGGAATTGTATTCAACACAATATAACATGTTACTCAAGTTAAGATTTGAAGAAAGTAACAACATGAACGTGATGTTCCACACAAACCTGCTCAAAATACTCTTTTGGTATGTTATTTTTGAATGAATATTACATAACCCTGTGATTTGTTTATTAAACTCTGAAAATTGCAAAGGAACTAAAGGTCTGCATAGTGGTTCTAAATAAAAACCTACTGGAATCTGGGTTTGCAGGATTTGAGAGAAAACCCAGAGGTGATCCCCTTCAACGCAGTCTGCACATTGGGCTGTCCAGAGGAAGTGATCTTGAGATAGCAGTTCCTGCAGAGAAACGCAGAAGTTTGTGTTTGTGTGTCTTTGACTTCATCAGTGTTAAGTATTTAGTGGCATCTAGTGGTGGGGTTGCATATTCAAACCAACTGTACACCCCTCAGCTTACTCTTCCCTTCCAAGAATATCCAAGAACGGGTGTTTTTTCTGTGCTACTGCAGAAATAAGGCGGTGTAACATAACATAGTCTTTCATGAGGTGTAGCAATTGTGGATTATTATAAAGAAACTGACGACCCGGTTCATGAATTAGACCAATTAATAAAATGCATTTAGTGTACACCAGGATACAGCCATGATTGTGAAACGATGTAATATGTAATAAAGAAACAAGAATAGTGTAACACCACTGTAATTTAAAAAACTATGTAATCAATAAAATAACACTGCAGATGCACGCTATGATTGTATGTAATGTAATGTAACCAACCGAAATGCATGCATGTAATACTTGATAGGACAACTGACATTGACAGAGAGACTTTCGAAATCCGTACCATCCAATGTGATACCTCATTGCATCACCATATCTTGTAAATAACCAGTCGACTTGAATGCATCAGGGTCACATGCCCTGGGGCGCGGGCACTGATTTTTACACCTTGATTGACCTGTACTCTTGTTCATGGAGTTCGTTGGTGGAGGTAAGAGACGGTCGCTATAGGTGGTGAAGGTGCTGCCCTGTGGCCTGTTGATTGCAGGTACCATTGGCTCCTCAGCTAATACGTTCTTTTTAGCACAACACCTTTTATTTTATTAAATACTTTGGATTTTAACTTTCAATCCAAGATGTCTTCTGTCCGTCCGGAGTTTTTTCATTTTTAGAACACAACACAATCTATGTAAAAGTAACAAATTAACGCTGAGGTAATGAAGAAATGTGTTTCTTAGTTTCAGGTAATTATGCACAAATATAAATATAATATAAATATATATATATAATTTGTGCCAATAGATTACCTAGATTACACTGGCCCTCAAAAAGTTCAAACTTGTAAAAGTAAAACTGAGAAGAATGTACATGATCACAGGTAAAGATTTTGAACATGCCATTTTTCCTGCACTGTTATTTGTCTTGTTGTCCATTGTCTCATAGTCTTATTGTCCATTGTAATGCACCAACTGCCATATCAAATTCCTTGTACGTCTAACAGTCTGGCAATCAATGTTCTTAGTTCCTGGTTCCTGTTGACGTGTATGTGGCAGCACAGAGGAAAGGCCAGCCATGGTGCCTAGCGTTGCCACCTTCAATACAGAAGAATAAGAATAAGGGACGATACGGCCGGGGGGCGGCGCGGACGTTTCGGCCCCCACTCTCGTCAGTGCTTTTGCATCCGCTTTCGCTTCAGAGCTGGAGGCGGGGTGGGGGGACCTGCTTGGTGACTCTAGGAGGAGCGGCCATGGTGATGGCACGCTTGAGGAAGCATTGTTGGAGCCATATTTTCAGTTACCAATCACATTTCTTATTTTGTTGGTAGAAATTATTCCCTCAATGTATGTTAAGATCATATTTTAAATAACTTTATGATTTATTAGATTGACCTGATGAGGATCAATACATCACATATTGAATTGGTCATTCCATACAGTGCAGGGGGTCTAGCATCTTTGATGGTCTACTGAAAGTGTGTCCTCTGTGTTTTAATGTTGACCAGAATCAGCAGCTATTCATTCTTTGAAAAAGTGACATATGAATATTGTCGTGCTTTTTTCATATGATAATGCTAAATGTACCAAAACTGCGCAGGATTTAAGAACGTGCAACATTTTACAGACGGTGCCCCATAATGAACTGTATGTAACAATTCACCCGGTGTTTCCCTCAAGATAAACGAAATCACCAAAAACCCGCATTATGGCTCCAACACTGCCCTTGTCCTTGGCTGTGAGCTGATGTTCAGCTCCCACTTCCACTTGTTGCTTGTTTATTTAACTTGTATAATTGCAAATGAAAAAACGGTCCAAATTAAAGGTTCTGGGTCACAGTATTTGAGAGAAAATCCAGAGGTGACACCTCTAGACCTCAGGAGTGATTCTGCACATTGGGCAGTCCAGAAAAACTGGTCTTGAGGTAGCAGTAGAAGTTCCTGCAGAGACACGTTTTGTGTTTGTGTGTGTGAGTGTGAATGTGGTTGACTTCATCAGTGTAAAGTATTTAGTGGCATCTAGTGGTGGGGTTGCATATTCAAACAACTGTACACCCCTCAACTCATTTATGAACATGGTTATAAATATATATAATGTTTGCCAGTAGATTACCCAACACTCTGGCCTCTAAAACTTTAAACTTTGTATAACGAAAACTGAAAACAAATGTGCATGATCACAGTTACAGTTATCAACAAAGACCAAGGCTATAAATTACATAAGAAAATAGTCATTTTGAAATATTAACCCTCTAATCTACAGCTGCAAGAGACATTCCAATGGTGGAGTCTTTTTTTGTGTCGTTTTTGTATGAAAGTCTGGGGTTCAGTTTGCGTACGGAGCAGGCTGGCGTTGTACTTAAAAAGTAAAAATGAGGATCCTGTGAGGAGGCAGAAGGCGGGAAAAAAAAGAGGGAAGTTGAGTGAAATCAGGAAGTGAGAGACATTTCTTCTATGGTGTCTCATCTATGCAGTAGTGGGGAATTTTCTATTGGGTGGTATTTTCTATGCGTGCCGTTTCTTTGTTTGTGCGTGTGTGTAGAACACCAAACATGCAATTCCTTAACAATAGTGCAGACACAACAAAAGCATTCAACAAAAAAATCACCATCAGCATCATTTAATTATACAAAGATTCATTTACTTAAAGTATACACATGTCATTATTTTAACTTAAAGCTTTGGTACAACAGACAAAAGCATTTGAGCACTGAATTTAATGTACTGGTACACAATTTCTGTGTACTTTAATACTTCATCAAAAACACAATCCAGTTTTGTATATCTTTAATCTTTTAGTCACCAGCTTCACCGCTGTTGGACATTACTTGAGTTTGTGAGTTGACTGTGTATTGACAATCCTACAGAGAACTGTGAACAGACTCTGTTTTTAGGGTTTCTAAACCACCTTGTATTGGTGTTACAGCCCACAGATTAACTGTTTTGGTTCCTTGTCACCGCTCATATCAACTGTTTGTTTTCAGCGATCCACCACCTCTGACAAACACAGTACGGCCCTTCACAAAACGATTGGTCTTTAAATACAGATCTGTTTTGATTTAATCTTTTCATATAGAAATATAAGTTAATGGTTAATATCACGACCTGGCTCTTGGGCCATGACAAAAATAGAGCAACGCAGGGTGGTAGACGGCATGTGTAATTTATTATCGACCAAATAAAGCTCCCGTGAACAAAAACGATGAGACTGGGGCGGCCGGGTCTTAAATGAAACCGAGAGACTGGCCAGGTGCTCCTAGTGGCTCCTACCATGGACCTGCAAGACAGGACAAAGGGACACACACACGCAGCAGGCCCTGCTCAAAACCAAAGGGCCGTCACATTAACCATACACATGTAGGTTGCGATATTTTTCAACTTCCACAAGCAGGTCAGGCTAGCTGTTAAGCTAAGCTAATTACCTTCTGGCTTTAGCTCTGCGTTTGGTCGTGAGAGTGGTGCTTCATCCATTGTCAACCAAGACCAAGACATTATTATCTCTAAAACTCCTCTTGCTCATTATTTGAGAGACATGATTGCAGGGATTTTGTCTTCAGCTGTGAACCAGGGCTCGTCATTGTCAAGGTGTCTCATCAACGGTGCATGGTGGGACACAGCTGTCTCCACAGAAGCTAATGAATGCCATCACAGCCTCTGCGTACTCATCCAGACTACTGGGAGCAGTCCTGAAAATATCCCAGTACGCACAGTCCAGGCACCGCTTGAGGATCTGCTGCTGGCCAAACCATAGAAAAAAAATCAGTAGATGAACCAACGAACAAAAGGTCAAAATTCCATTAATAGATGTTTTTGAAATGAGAAACAGTGCTGTGTATTGACAATCCTACAGAGAACTGTGACCAGACTCTCTTTTTAGGGTTTTTAAAGCCCACAGATAAATTGTTTTGGTTCATTGTCACCACTCATATCAACTGTTTGTTTTCAGCGATACACCACCTCTGACAAACACAGTACGGCCCTTCACAAAATGATCGGTTTCCAAATGCACAATATCTGTTCTGATTCATTCTCTTCAAATATAAATATAAATTAATGGTTAACCTTACACATGTAGGTTGGGATATTTTTCAACTTTCACAAGCAGGTTAGACTAGCTGTTAAGTTAATTACCTTCTGGCTTTAACTCTCGAGTGGTGATTCATCCATTGTCCAGGCAAGACCAAGGTATTATTATCTCTAAAACTCTCCTTGTTCATTATTCAGGAGACATAATTGCAGGGATTCTATTTTTTGGATAAAACATCACATACTGTCAATACACAGATTGAACAGTGCTACCTTCCTTTGACTGCTGGTGGTGTGTGGTAGCTTTTATTTAAAAGAATGTTGTAGTTACTTCCTTGCAACAGTAGATTAGAGTTTAAAATAATGCATTTTGTGTGCAGACATAAAAAATAAACTACCCGGCATCAGTTTTTGATACATTATTTCATTATTCACTGTGTCCTTATATCTAATAAATACTGTAATGACCGTCGTAACAGATGGTTATTCTCCTAATGAAACGTGTGCGTCCTGTGGTGAACTTCATTGGTGTAGAAACACCCAAATATTTTTGCACACCTAAATACTGAAACTGAATTATTTTAAGAGTGAAGATGAAACAATAAGACCGTGTGAACACAGACTTCAAAGCGAATGAAGCAAGTTGAAAGCAAACTGATGTTCTTTATGTTTTATAGCTCTTGTTTACACACAAAAAGAATCATGTGCAGCTTGAAACGCAGTCAACAGATGTTAGGAAACCAACCGACCAAGTGTCCATGTTAAAGAACAAGGCAACAGCATCTTTTTGTGTGTTTCTGGAGCACTTTACACGCAGTTCCTCAGTTGGAAGCCTGACACAGCAGTGGCCAGTTTGGCGACTCTAGGAGGAGCGGGCATGGTGATGGACCGCTTGAGGTAGCAGCGCCGCCTAGAACACAAGATCAACAACAGCTTCTTATAAATGTTCTGAACTGTTGGAACAATTTCACTTAAAAAATAGAAATTTGTTTTAATGTAGGTTTTTATGCACGCATGAAGGTTAATGTACCTGAAAACGCTGTCGGGGAAATCTGCCTTGAGATAGTTGTAGAACTGGCAGTTAGGATCCTCGTTACAGGTCCTCTGACAAGAGGCCGCATCGTCCGTCAGTTCAAAGCGAATGTCATTACCTTGGAAATTGACCCCTTCAAGAGCAGCGTTAACCCAGCCTGGTGGAAGAGAGGAACAATTTCAGTCAGTGACTATTGTCTTTTTATGATAGAGACGAAGCATGACATGTTGGGCTTTATAACAAATTCATCACAAATTTGACGTTGTGAGAAAATGAATATGTATCTAATGTAAAAAAGACCACAGCAGGTTGCAAAAAGTCATTCATAAACTGTGCTTCATCCTGAGGGAAGAGTTCACAAAACTCAACGACACGAAGACAGGGGTTCAAAATAAGTAGGACGGATCATCTGGGAATCATGAACATGTGATAATACTCACTGTTGTCTGGCCAACAGAAGCGTGCTGGTAGTCCAGATGTTAATCCATCTCTTGCTTTGCGAACCAATTCAATGCTGTTGCCCTTCAGGTAACAATTGAAGTCGTCACTGTAACAAACAACAACAAAAAAACTGGCATTCAATTTAAATCTTGAATAAAGATAGGTATATATTTTGAGATTTGTGAAAAGATGTGACTGTAATAGATGAGATTGTCTCATTAGAGAAAAACGGTTTGAGTACCTGACAAAAGTAAAGAAGGTGCAGAGTGAGTGAGCAGAGCACAGGTTCTGACAGTGTCCAGGGGAGGCAGCAGGAAGAACCAGAATGTCATTTCCTGGGATGTCGGTGTTTGGAAAAAGCTTTCCCTGACATGCTGGACAAAACATTGGAAACACATTAGAAGAACATCCACTGCATCTGCAGACTTTATTCTGAATGCTTTTGCTATGGTTGTCTTTGTACCTGGTTTACCCTCTTGAAATGTCCCTACTTTGTTGGAGAATCCAGACACTAAATCAGCTGTTCTTTCAACAATTGGAAGTGTTGCCACTGGCCAGCTGAATTTAAGGAGGCACTTGTACCTAAAACAAAAAAATGGCATATTCATGGTATTGAGGAGCTTATGTCACCACCCTGGTGTTGCAGGAGCAAAGCTTCCTCCTTGTCTGAATTAAACCAACCGTGTACAACAATTCGCCAATACAGATACAGAACGGATACATTCAATTTCACAGATCGTGTGACATCGGCAAAAGCAGTTTTACCTGTAAACGACTGGTGTGAAGTCCTCATTTAGAAAAGTGAAAAACTGACAGGCAGGGTCCTGTGTGCAGGCTCTCCGACACTCCTCAGCATCTTCTGTGAACAAGCTTATGATGTCAGCACCTGGGAAGTCCACGCCATAGTACAGCTGAGGCAGACAAGGCTCTGGCAGAGAGAGAGAAGGAGAGTGTGGTCACGGATCAATAGTTGTGATTCAAAGAGAACAACATGAATGTGATTCTAAACAAACTTTTTACCAAAACTAATTTGGGATGTTATTTTTTATGAATGAAATTACACTTATTTAGTAATTGTATTACATAACCCTGTTAATTTTACTTCCAAAATTGCAAATTAACAAAAGGTCTGCATAACGCCACTAAATAATAGTGAGCCTACTTGGATCTGGGTTGCAGGGTTTGAGAGAAAATCCAGAAGTGACCCCCTGCAACGGATTCTGCACATCGGGTTGTCCAGAGGAACTGCTCTTGAGGTAGCAGTAGAAGTTCCTGCAGAGACAGAAAGACAATTTGCATTTGTGTGTCTTTGACATCATCAGTGTGAAGTATTTAGTGGCATCTGGTGGTGGGAATGCATTTTCAAACCAAATGTACACCCCTCAGCTCACAATTCCCTTCCAAACGTAATCAAGAACCGGTGAGCTTCGGGTAGCGTAACAACGAGGAAAGGCCATTCGACCAGCGAGTATCTGGGTGTTTCTTCTGTCCTACTGCAGAAAGATGGCGGCGTAACTCTTTGAATGGGTGTAGCTCTCTGTGTAGAAGTAACCGATTAACTCTGGTCACAGTTAGTCATCAACAAAGAGTAATGCTATAATAAATGTGGGAGTAGTCATTAAAAAAAATAATCCCTCTAATCTACGGCTGCATAACACACGTTTTTACTTGGGCTGTCAATAGATTAAACAAATGAATCGCACATAATAAAATGCATTAATTGCAAATAAAAGTCTCAAGTCTTAAAAGTAACAAGTATTAACTTTGGAAAGCATGTATTTCAGACATGTTTTTAATTATTGATTTTTTAAACACAAGACTACACATATTTGCTCATCTCCAAGGCCAACTCCAATCTCCTGCTGTCCTCGTGCACTTAGCCTGGGAAGTTTTCCAAACCACCGTCTTTTAGGGCGGCAGTGGTCACATTAATTCCATAGATTAACACGTTCATTTTCACAGCCCTAAATATTTGTCTTGCAAAAGTAGGTTGTATTTTTAGGTAGTATTTTTAGAGTCCAGTTTAATGAAAGAAATTGCTTATTAAAATGTGTTGGTACACTGCTTGTTCTGTACCTGTCGTCCCGGGTCCAGTCAGCAGGTAGATAGGTAAAGAAGAGACAGGCCGGGTGCTGGGTGCAAAGTTGCTGACAGTGATTAACATCGGGAGAGAAGACAAGTAGGATGTCTGATCCAGGGAAATCTATATCCTGCACAAGCTGTTCTCTACATTCTAAAAAAATTGAAAACAGAAAGAGACATATACTCACACAGTACATCCTACTATATATAAGTGGTGGACTTACAATACTTAAATGTATTACCTTGACTAAGGGAGAGGCTGCAGATGGACAAAAGAATCCCCAAAATCTGATGTGTTTCCATCTTTGGTTTGGAGTTCAGAGTTCAGTGAGGAATCCTGAAACAAAGGTGTGTCACCTTTTTCTTACTTTAGCAGCTCCCATGATGAAGGAATAAACAGCAGCGTGATCCCATCTCTTGGAAATATTGGCAGAACATTCAGAGACGGACACTTTTTGAAGACTACATTCAAATATGTTTGCAATAAAACGTGACCACAATGATTTTGAAAGTAAATAAAAAGCCTGGAGAAATGAAAAGCCAAAGTAAATTTTTGTTTAGAGCACAAAAATGGATTTGGAGTTTAAGCCACTCGATTAATGTTCCCCAATATAATAACCACAGGAAATGCATATTTCTTAAAAAAAGGCCAGCCGGTACAGATCATACAACAAGAACAGTTCCCACAACCCATTAATGCAAGTTACCTGGTTGCGGAGTTCCTTGGTTGTAAAAAGATGGAACTGAAAGTGTAAGTCTGCTTTTATGCAAGAAGCCTGAGCCAAGGAACCTATCAAGAGCTTCTACACAGGGGCCGTAGGGAGGGTTTGTGTTGACTTGTGGTTCATATCTTTGGTTCTACCTTCCTGTATGCTTTGGTTTGTTTAGTCAGACACGATTGTGGGTGGTTAATTAAGTGAATATCTTGCTTTGTTAACCTTAGTTTTTAATATTTATGTTCTGTTAACATATTTTATTTGGGCACTATAACTCTGTCAATGGATTTCTTGGTGAATCTTTGTTATAGAATAATGTTTAGAAAAATACACTTTTTGCAGTTAAGACCTTTTTCCTTTGAGACCTTTTCAATTCTCCATGAATATGATATTAACCCTGAGACACATAGGCTGAGATTCCTCTCCCTTGATAAAAAATCTGAGAACCCAAATGAGTTGTCTACACGGTTGTACAGAAAGTGAATTAACCCAAAGGGTAAAACTGTTTAAGAGATGGGTGAAATCCTAATTGGAGCAATACTTCAGAATGCTTTCTCCTGAGCTGCAGGTCTGGATTAAAGAGTCTAACCCAGGTTCTGCTGCTGAGGCTGATGAACTGGGTGATGTCAATCTGGCAGAATGGAGGAAAGGCCAGTTCTTGCACTAAAAAGCACGGGAAAGTAAGGATTACCGCAATCCAGTCCCTTAGTACCACCAAGAACCCTTTGCCATAGTGGGTAAGCCCTTCACGAGAGAAAAGCCCCACCTAAAAGCAGGTGCGAGGGCAAACCTACCTCCTAAACATTGGTGTTACTGATAATCTACCATGTACTGCTGTGCTTTGTTGGGACCTGCCTGTGTTAGAGTTGTTGAATTCCAGCCTCAAATGACACATCGCATTCACCACAACCTAATCGGAGGAGGTCGAGGAGCCGCTTCAGATAATCAGGGCCCTACTGTTCTTTATTGCAGATTTGGAGACCGCACCCAGAAAACATCGTAAGTCACACCAACAGAGAAGGCAAGAGAAGTTGCCATGGAAGTTGCTGTGCTGTGGCAATGCCCCCCTCTGGTGTAACACTTTAATACGTGATAGCTTTGTGTGTCCTAATAGGTCGGGCAAAAAAAAAAAAATCTTTTTAGGGTTTGAGAGAAACACCACAGGTGATGCCCCTGCAACGGAGTCTGCACATTGGGCCTCCCAGAAGAACTGTTCTTGAGGTAGCAGTAGAAGTGCCTGCAGAGAAAGGCTGAAGTTTTGTGTTATTGTGCGTGTTTGTGTGTTTTGTCTTTAGCATTTCATTCCACTTTATTTTATTACTTGTGCACTGTTGTCTTGTCTGTCTACTGTCGCGCACTATCCGCCAAGACAAATTCCTTGTATGTTTGACATATTTTGGCTAATAAATGTTTCCTGATTCCTGAATCCTGATTCCTGTCTTTGACTGCGTCAGTGTAAAGTATTTAGTGCCCTCTAGTGGTGAGGTTGCACATTCAAACCAACAGTGCACTTGTTCTGTACCTGTAGAAGAGACAGGATGGATGCTGGGTGCAAAGTTGCTGACAGTGATTAACATTTGTAGAAAAGCCAAATTGGAAGTCTGATCCAGAGAAATCTACATTCTCAAGAATAAATATAATAATAATAATAAATATTATGAATAAATGGAAAACAGCCAAATACATCCTAAAACATAAAAGTGATACAATTATAATACTTAAATGCAATATCCATGACTAAAGGAGAGGCTGCAGATAGATAGCAGAACCCCTAAAATCTGATTTGTTCGCATCTTGACTACTAAATTCAGCGAGGATTCCACAGTCACACAGACAATGACCTGATGTTTATTGACTTTTTCAAGCTCTAGATTTAAATTCAAACTTTTATGTTGAAGACTACGTGACAGATGTTTGCATTTCACTGTGTGAATACTGACCTCCGAATGAATAAAGCAGGTTAGAAGCAAACCAATGTTCTGTGTTTTATTGCTCTTGTTTACACAAAAAGATTCATGTGCAGCGTGAAACGCAGTCAACAGATCAAGTGGCCATATTTAAGCACCAAATAATAGCATCTTACACGCAGTTCCTCAGTTGGAAGCCAGATACGGCATTCTCCACTTTGGCGACTCTAAGAGCGGCCCTGGTGACGGACCGCTTGAGAAAGCAGCGGCGCCTAGAAAACAAGAACAACAGCATCTTAAAAATGTCCTGAATGGTTGGAACAGTTTTATTTTTATTTTTATTATTGTGTTAATGAAGGTTTGCATGCATGCAAAAAAAGGGAATTTACCTTAAAGGGGCTATATTATGAAAATTCCACTTTTTTAGTGCTTCTATACGTTAATTTGGGTATCTGGCATGTCTCCCAACACAAAAACGCTGGAAAAAAACAACTCACGCGGCTTGTTGTGGCGTGGTGTTGTGGTGTCAGAAACGATATGCTTGAGTGCGTCCAATGGAATCACCACCAACGTCTACGTAGATTTTGAAGCGCGCCCATGTAGGGAGTCTGCCTACATGGCCTTGGACCGCCCCCCACCACCACTCGACCCAAGGGGGAGGGGGGAGCTGGCTCATTAGCATTTAAAGGAACAGGCACTCAAAACAGGTCAATCTGTGGGGAGGTGTTTTTGACAGGGTAAAAAGGGTGCTGTTTGAAATGATTCTTGTGGTATTCTGACCAAAATATGTTGCAAACATTTCATTGAGACCCCAAGGAACCATATCAACATGTGGAAAAATGGGCATACGATGGGTCCTTTAAATCATTCTCGGGGAAGTCTGCCGTGATATATGTGTAGGACTGGCAGTTAGCATTCTCATTACAGGTCCTCTGACAAAAGGCCGCGTCATCGATCCGTTTTTTGCTAATGTCATTACCTGGGAAATCGACCTTCAAGAGCAGCGTTGACCCAGCCTGGTGGTAACCTTGCTCCTCTCTGCCACCAGGTGGTGCTGGCTGAACCACAGAAATACTTCCCTGTTTGTCCCCATTTGTGGTGGCGGGACACCCTGTATTGACGTTACCTGGTAGCGGAGTTCCTTTTTTGGTTGGAAAAGAAATGGAACTGAAGGTGGTGTCTGCTTTTATATATGAGGCTTGAGCCAAAGATCCTACCTGGAGCTCTTACAGCATGGGGGAATTACTCAAGCTAAAGAGGCGGAGAGGCCCTTTCAGACACTCAGTACCCTGCCTTTCTATGATGCAAATTTGGAGACAGCACCCGCAACATTTTGTAACAGAGAAGGAAAGGGAAGTTTTGCAATACTGTGGCAATCCCACCCTCTGGCAGTTTGCCTGAACAGCCTTTGATTTTCAAAATACCCAACAATATCATTTGAATCCAACAAAATTACTCCATTACTCCAGCATGTTTCTCACAGAGAGCTATAGGGGAAGGTACGGGAACAGACAAACACTACTGCCCGGAACAGCTAGGCACTGTGCTGGGATTTGGGCACTCCGTTCCGTGGGCTGGCAATCTTGGAAAACACAGAACATTTGCTCGCATTTAAAAAACATTTCCACTGGCCTGACTTGCATGCAGATTTAGTTTTGTTCTGTGAAAGTCTCCTGGAGGTCTAATAAAACCTTCCTTAAAATCTGCTCGAGAGCTCCGCTACAGCTCCTAGCGATCACCAGTGTCCGCCCTTTGAGCCGTTGGGAATGGACATTGTTGGGCCTGTTGAAAGGAGCAAAGCAGGAAACCTTTACATGCTGGTAATAACATAGTATGCCACAAAACATTCAGATGTTTTTCCTTTAAACTCATTGAAGGCCAAAACAGTTGCCTTTTGCAGTTTTTTCCAAGGGGAGCTTCGCCTGTGAGATCCTCAGAGACTGTGGAACTAACTTCATGTCCACTTTGTTACAACAGGTTTACAAGCTTCTTGGTATTAAGCACTTGAGGACAACGGTTAGCTATGATCTGTCAGCCCGGCCGATGTCCTTCAACCCAGGGTAACAGGTGCTCAAACTTTTTTTTTTTTATTGAGGCCCTATAACTGCAAATGGATTTCTTGGTGAACGTTTGGGAAAATAAACCCACCTAGTTACGCCTCAACTCCGGCTCAGGAGAGGAGGAAGGCGTAACTGCCCAAGACCACGCCCTCTGGATGATTCTGAACCTGTGTGCGAAGGCCCCAGCTTGCTATCACAATAAGTAAAGGACACTACTACAATTGATGGCTATGGTCGGTTTATTTCCCCTACAAGAACAATACAAACAATTACACACAAGTACAAAGACACGGGATAGGAGGACTAACAGGTAACAAGGCCTGTGGAGTAGGGCGGTGCCAGCGGTCTGTCAAAGCAAAGAAACAAAACAAAGGACCCTGGGCTTCCCTAACCCTCTAAACCTACCTACCACAATCTAACCTATCACACCACTTACCTCACTGCTACAATACACTGGGTGACAGCCGCTGGCTTCTAATCTAGTGTATCTAACAGAGGTTTTCCCTACGGGTGTATGTAGACCCCAGGGTATCTTACCTAGCCCTGCTCCACAGCACTCTTGGGGTAAGTACATAAACACAGACCTGGAGTACAATCGACCACAGTTTAACAAACATAAACCATATATTCTTTCAATATCTAAATCAATGTCACTCTCAATCTCTCCCAAAACACAAGTCCCCCTCTTTTTCCAAGCTCTCACAAACAAACATTTTTAAAGGAGCAGAGCTGAGAGCTGGATTGGCTGGAGGAACAGCTGGCCACGCCTGCATCGTCAGCAGCAACTCACCACACCTGGGAAGAACAGACTGGAAACAAAGACATGGGGGAGGAAAAAACACTAATAGAGCAGCCGGACGCAACACACCTTTTGCAGATAAAACAGGTTTTCTTGTGCCTTGACTACTTGGTTCACGACACCATGTGTCAGCTGAAGCATGTTTGAATTTCAGACGGCTTTCAGCTTGCCTGTTTCCTCTGGGGTGTATATTCAATTGAAAATGTTTTTGTAAATCGGTTGTTTGATGTAGTCAATCCTTTCAAGACATTCTGATTTAATCCACCTACTGAAAACAGGAGATAAGTGATGGTCAGGAAAAAGTCACATCAGCCAGTGAAAAGGTATTTCTTACAACAACTTGGTCCTTTGAAGACAGTATATCACATTAAATCTTTCCTTAGTCTGGTCACTATGGGATTCCTGGTAGGTCTGAGAAGGAGGGCACACCCTGCAACGGAGTCTGGACATTGAGATGTCAAGAGGAACTGGTCTTTCTGTAGCAGAAGTGCCTGCAGAGATTTTGTGCTTGCGGTTTTAACTTCAGTGTAAAGTATTTAGTGGTGAGGTTGCATAGTCAAACTGTCCACCCCGGTGCTCTTTGAGCAGCGTAAAAACAATGAAAAAGGCCCGGCGACCAGAGTGGGTGTTTTTTCTGGGGCTACGGCAGAAAGATGGTGGTGTAACATGGCACTCTTTGAAGAGGTGTTGCAGTTTAGGTAACATTTTTAGGTAAATAACTCATGTGCATAATTTAATTATGGGCAATAGATTTCACCAGTGTGGCACACTAAAACTTTGTGGGGGAAAGAAAAAAAAAATGCATGATCATTTAGTTAAAGAGAAATTCTATTGACAATCCCTCCAGGTTGCGGCTGCAAAAAACAGATGTCGCTTTTGACTTCTAATGTGTGGTAGGGCTTAATAGAATAACTTATTTTCTGGTGCATTTTCCGAGTCCAAATGTATTGTTCTTTACCAGTGTTCTTGGGTCCAGTCAGCACAAAAAAAAAAAAAGGTAAAGTAGAGACAGGTCAATTAAATGAATGAAGCAGGTTAGGTTTTATTGCTCTGGTTTACACAAAAAGAATCATGTACAACTTTAAAAGCAGTGAACTGATGTTAGGAAAAAAATAAAAAATAAAAAAAAATAAACAGATCAAGGGGCCATATTAAAGCACAGCATCTCTGTGTTTCTGGAGCACTACACGCAGTTCCTCAGTTGGAAGCCTGATATGACATTGGCCACTTTGATGACTCCAGGAGGAGCGGGCATGGTGATGGACCGCTTGAGGACGCAGCGGCGCCTAGAAAACAAAAACAGAATCTTAAAAATATCCTGAATTGTTGGAACGGTTTTATTTTAAAAATTGGAATCTTGTGTAAATGCAGGTTTGCATGCATTAAAGTGAATGTACCTGAAATTGGGGTCAGGGAAGTCTGCCGTGGTGTATGTGTAGAACTGGCAGTTAGCATCCTTATTACAGGTCCTCTGACAAGAGGCCGCGTCGTCGATCCGTTCATTGCGAATGTCATTACCTGGGAAATCTACTCCTTCAAGAGCAGCGTTGACCCAGCCTGGTGGCAGAGGAGCAAGGTCAGACTGCTGGCTGAACCACATAAATACAACACCATCAATAAACTGAAAGGAGAGAGATTAAGTTACTGAATGATCGAAGTAGTAAAATATTGCTTAATAAGCAAAACTAAAAAAAGTACAAATTATTGTACTGTACTTTTATAGTGCTTCTCGTCTTCCGACCACTCACTTAATGTCATCGTTCACACACTGATGACAGGGGCTACTGTACAGTGTCACCTGTCCAACAGTAACTAACATTCTCAAACACAAAGCTAAAAGGAGCAATGTTAGAGTTAAGAGTCGTTTTGCTCAAGGACACATCGACAAGAGGGTCAGTCGGGCCTGGGATTAAACCGCCAATCCGCATATTGGAGGACAACTGTGCTCCCCACTCACTCATCTATACATACAGTGTTAGTGTTAATTCCCAAAACTCAAAGAGTGGTTCAAAATAAGTAGGATGGAACATCTGGGAAATCATGATTGTCTGTACGTATCATCAATATAAAAGTTGTTTTAATTGACCAAGAGGACTATGGTGAGTAATCCTTTGCGAGGAAATATAACACACACACACACAAAATTATTGAATTTGTCATTACATAGAGCGCATTGGGTCTATGATAGTCTACGGAGTGAGTCCTCTCAGAACGTTTATTGACAATACATACTGTTATCTGGCCAACAGAAGCGTGCCGATAGTCCAGATGTGACTCCATCTTTTGCTGTGAGAATCATTGCATTGTCGTTTGCCTTCAGGTAACAATTGAAGTCGTCACTGTAACAAACCGAAAAGTTAAAATCAAAACGAGACCTTGAAGGAAAGTGTGTTTAGTTTGAGCTCAGATCTGAGTAATAGAGGATTGTACAATAAAAACATATTTGACAACCTGACAAAAGTGAAGGTGGCGCAGGCCGAGTGAGCAGAGCACAGGTTCTGACAGTGTCCAGGGGAGGCAGCAGGAAGAACCAAAATGTCATTTCCTGGGATGTCCGTGTTTGGAAATAGATTTCCCGGACATACTGAACAAAACATTGGAAACACATTAGAAGAACATCCACTGCATCTGCAGACTTTATTCTGAATGCTTTTGCTATGATTGTTTCTTTACCTGGTTTACCCTCTTGAAATGTTCCTACTTTGTTGGAGAATCCAGACACTAAACCAGCTTTTCTTTCAACAACTGGAAGTGTTGCCACTGGCCAGCTGAATTTAAGGTGGCATTTGTACCTAAAACAAGACACTTTAGAGTCAGGTAATTGGGAAGCCTATGTCACCCCCCTGGTGTTGCAGGAGAAAAGCATTCAACCAACTGTACAACAATGAGCAGATACATTTAATGTCACCACTGGGTTGACATTGGAGAATTTACATTTACCTGAAATTGTCTAGTGTGAAGACTTCATTTAGAAAAGAGAAAAACTGACAAGCAGGGTCCTGTGTGCAGGCTCTCCGACACTCTTCAACATCTTCTGTGAACAAGGCTCTGTAGTCAGCACCTGGGAAGTCCACGCCATTGTACAGCTGAGGCAGACAAGGCTCTGGCAGACAGAGTGAAGGAGAGTGGTCACGGATCAAGAATTAACAAAGGATGCCAATGGATCTAGAAATTACCCTGTGAACCGGATTACTGTTCTACACACTTTAACATATCTGGATTCGAAGAGAACATAAGTGATTCGGCAAACCTTTTACCCCGGATTTTGGATATTAGTTTAAGTAAAATTACTTTTAAAAATTGTATTACATAGCCGGTTTATTTACCTCCAAAATTGCAATTTAACTAAAAGTCTGCATAACAGTTCTAAATAATGGTGAGCCTACTTGAATTTGGGTTGCAGGGTTTGAGAGAATATCCAGAGATTGCCCCCTGCACCGGAGTCTGCACATCGGGTTGTCCAGAGGGACTGCTCTTGAGGAAGCAGTGGAAGTTCCTGTAGAGAAAAGCAGAAGTTTTGTTTGGGTGTCTTTGACGAAGTATTTAGTGGTGGGTTTGCATTTTCAAACCATTTATACAGCCCTCAGGGCACAATTCCCTTCCAAGAATTTATCAAGAACCAGTGGCCTTCAGGTAACGTAACAACGTGAAAAGGCCATGAGACTAGAGTGTCCGGGTGCATCTTCTGTGCTACAACAACAATTAACACTGTAGCAATTTCAGTTTGAGGTCAATGCACACCAGACGTTTTGCTTGTTCTGTACCTGTCGTCCCGGGTCCAGTCAGCAGGTAGATAGGTAAAAAAGAGACAGGCCGGGTGCTGGGTGCAAAGTTGCTGACAGTGATTTACATCGGGAGAGAAGACAAGTTGGATGTCTGATCCAGCGAAATCTACATCCTCCACAAGCCGTTGCCTACATTCTAAATAAATAGAAAAATAAATATATTTCATGCAGTACATCCTACTACATACAGGTGGTGAAATTACAATACTTCAATGCATTACCTTGACTAAAGGAGAGGCTGCAGACAGACAGCAGAATCCCTAAAATCAAATGCGTTTCCATCTTCAGGTCTGAGTTGAGGAAGGATGCCTGTAACAAAGGTTTGTCAACGCTTTCAAAGTCCAGATATTTAATTGCTTCATAGTATCACTCATTTACAGCGCAATTCTTACTTTAACAGCGTCAATTTAAATCAACTTTTACTAGTAAGTTGTATTGAGTGGGGCTGAAAAATTACTTGTATCCTAGAACGGGAGTTTATTCCTTCATCGTGAGAGTAAAGTATATAAAAGGTCATTAAGGTACGGATTACAAAAAGTAATGGCTTCAAAACCGAAAAAGTTGAGTTCGATTCCACCTCCTGGACTTGGAAATAGTGGCTGAAAATTTTGAGAAAGCAACCACAATGACTTTGAAAGTAAATGAAAACCCTGTAAAGTTGAAAGCCAAAGCAAAATCTTTGGTTAGAGAACAAAAAGGGATCTGGAGTTTAAGGCACTCAATGAATGTTTCTCAAGTTAAGAACCAGAGCAAATGCTTATTTCTTTAAAAAGGGCAGCCAGTCCAATGCAAAGAGTAAGTACAGATCATACAAGAACAGTATCCATGTGACAGCCCCTTAAATGAAATTACCTGGTAGCAGAGTTGCTTTCCTGGTTGGACAAGAGATGGAACTGAAGGTGTCTGCAGTCTGCTTTTATACAAGAGTCCTGAGCAAGGACCCTACCAAGAGCTCTTTCAGCACGGGGGATTTAGGGCAGGTTTGTGTTACCTTGTGGTTCATCTCTTTGATGGTCCCTCCCTTTGAGCTGTAGTTGGTTTATTCATTCACTACGAGTTTCACTCAGGGTGTGGGTGGTTAATCAAGTGAATATTCTGCTTTGTTGACCACAGCCTGTAATATTCATGTTTTATTGACTTCTTTTATTGGGGAACTATAACTCTGTCAATTGATTTCTTGGTGAATGTTTGTTATTGAATAATGTTTGGGAAAATAAACTTTTTGCAGTTGAAACCTGTGTCCTAGTAACTTGAATCCGAAGACCAAGTGGTCTACAAGATTAGTGTCAGAAGTGGGATCCTCCAGGTAAAGGCACAGATGAGCACCGAAGATGGAGCTTCTGTCGGGTTGGAGAGCAGTGAGGACAAAGCTATGGAGCCAACAATGTTGGACCTGTCCCCCCTTGTTTGGTGCCAGGTAGAGCAGCAAAAGTATTTAGTGGTGAGGTTGCATATTCAAACCAACTGTACACCCCGGTGTCCTTTGAGCAGCGTAAAAACAATGAAAAAGGCCCTGCGACTAGTGTCTTTTTCATTGGTGTTTTTTCTGGGCTACTGCAGAAAGATGGCAGCGTAAGATGGCGCTCTTTGAAGAGGTGTAGCAGTCTATGTAGATGTATCCAGTTATTTCTGAAGTTGGAGCTTCTGTAGGGTTGGAGAGCACTGAGGACAAAGGTAGGAGCCAACAATGTTGGACCTGTTCTCCCTTCTTCAATGCCAGGTAGAGCAGCAAGAGGCCCGAGACGCCACAGAGAACAAGGAAACTAGCTGACAAGAACACCGCTTTACAATGCTCCAACACCATTTCCGGCTCCTTCAGGAGGAAAATTAAGTCCGGACCTTGCCAGTGCCTCCTGCCAGATGAACATCAACCACCTGTTCTTGCACCTTCGGACGCTGGCATCCCTCTCAAAGTTACTCCCGAAAATGAGATGAACCAGGCTTATGCCTCTGCACGTCAGTCTCAGCTTCTCTGGCCGAGATTTGAGGAGTTCACTGAGGAGGATGTTGAAAATGTCTTAATCGCCTTTGAATGTGTTCCACTGGCTTGTCAATGGCAAAAACTTTCTGCCAAAGCTAGAGGTGCATATGTAGTTATTGATGATTGTCTTGATTATGGTAACGTCAAAAGCGCCATCCTCCATGAATATGCTGCCCCATGTTCCATGTCAAAGTGTCCCTGAGCAAGACACCTAACCCCTAATTGCTCCCCGGGCAAAAATGTGAAAAAGCCACGGGTTTAAAGTGTAATGTAAGTCGCTTTGGATAAAAGCGTCTGCTAAAATGACCTGTAATGTAATGTAATGTAATATGATAATAACCTTCAGACATATAGCCTGAGATTCCGCTCCCTTCATATGAAGCCTGAGGACCCAAGTGAGCGGTCTACACGGTTGAAGGAGGACGGAAAGTGAATTATTATTATTTCAGAATGCGTTCTCCTGAGCTGCAGGTCTGGATTAAAAAGGGTTACCCAGGTTCTGCTGCTGAGGCTGATGTCAATGTGGCAGCACAGAGGAAAGGCCAGCTATTGCACTACAAAGTATGGGGAAGTAAGGATTACCGCAATCCAGTCCCTCAGTACCACCAAAGACAGTTGGCCATAGTGGGTAAGTCCTTCATGTGAGAAAACCAGCACGCTAAGATGGGATACAAGCTCCCTACCAAAATGAAAATGTGTTATCTAATGCATGTGGAATGGAAGGACATATAAAACCAATGTGCCCCCAAAACTCCAAAGTAACTCAAATGCATTGTGTGCCAACAAATGTTGAAACTGAAATTAAAACAGTCCTGGATGGATTCAGACAGTGACCAGACCCTTGTACACAGCCATTTTGCACCACCAAATATTATTAGGATAAATGAGACTATCCCTGTTTGCTCGGTTCATGGGGATGAAAAGCCCCCACCCTTGCCTTGCCTTACTGCTGTGGTTGGTGGAGACCTCCCTTTTTATTTATTTATTCCAGCCACAAATGTAACAGCAAATGTTTTGTTGCAATGTTGCATTGACCAGAGCTCAAGCTAAAGAGGCGGAGGAGGCCTTTCAGAAACTCAGTGCCCTGCCTCTGTGTCATGCAGATTTGGAGACCGCAACTGGAAAATCTGGTAAGTCTCGCAAACAGAAGAAAAGGGAAGTTTCGCCATACTGTGGCAATCCCACCCTTAGAACATCTTAGATTGCTCCAAAGGATATTGCCCCTCGCTCAAGTTCCTTATTAACAAATTGGATGTCTTTTCCAGATGAACCTACATCCTTCAGAATATTTATCTACACTCTAAATAAATGGAAAACAGAAAGAGAAATATACTCATACATTACATCCTAGTACATAAAAGTGATACAATGACAATACTTTAAAGCATTACCATGACTAAAGGAGAGCCTGAAGATAGACAGCAGAAACCCTAAAATCAAATGCTTACCATCTTTAGTTCCGAGTTGAGTAGGGATTCCTGAAACACAGGTTTGTCTTTTTTCAAAGTCCAGATATTTCATTGCTTCATAGTATCACTCATTTACAGAACAATTCTTACTTTAGCAGCTTCAATTTAACCAAATGTTACTTCTAGTGATAAGTTGTCAGAGTCAGTCCGAAACATTGCTTGTCCCCTAGAATGAAAGTTGAAGGTACTTTACTCCCATAATGGACTAAACAGGTCATTAAGGTACTGATGATGAAAAGTAATAGCTCCAAAGTAGACTCCAATTTGAGAAATCTCTTGTGGTTTTCATTTGAAAATCTGGAAAGTTCAGTTTGTGCAGTTTGATCCCACCTCTTGGAAATATTGGCAGCACATTCTGAGAAAGCGACACTGACCGCAATGACTTATAAAAACTAAATAAAAAGCCTGGAAAGTTGAAAGCCAAAGTTAATTTGTTTAGAGAACAAAATGGATCTGGAGTTTAAGACACTCAATATATGCTCCCCTAATTAATAACCACAGCAAATGCACATTTCTTTAAAAGGCCAGCCAGAAATCAAAGTGACAACACTTAAAAGCATTACCATGACTAAAGGAGAGGCTGCAGATAGACAGCAGAACCCGTAAAATCTTATTTGTTTCCAACTTAAGTTCAGTGAGGATTCTTTAAACACAGCTGTTTATCCATCAAACTGACATGTTGATCTCAGGCATGATGACTTTTTAAACGTCAAGATTTAAATCCACGCTTGCATGTTGAAGACAACATGTGGACCTTTACCATTTGACTGTGTGAATACTGACTTCCAAATGATTAAAGAAAGTGAAAAGCAAACCAATAGTCTGTATTTTATTACTCTTGTTTAGACACAAAAATAATCATGTACTGCATTCAACTGATGTTGAATCAAGCAGCCAGATTAAAGAAACAAAGCAATAATATATTTTGGATTTTCTGGAGCACTTTACACGCAGTTCCTCAATTGGAAGCCTGATACGACATTGGCCAGTTTGGTGACTCTAGGAGGAGCGGGCATGGTGATGGACCGCTTGAGGTGGCAGCGGCGCCTAGAACACAAGATCAACAACAGCATCTTAAAAAAAAGTCCTTAATTGTTGGACCAATTTTAATTTAAAAATGGGAATTGTTTGTGTTAATGCAGGTTTTCATGCATGCATAAGGGTTAATGTACCTGATATTGCTGTCAGGGAAGTCTTTGTTGACATATGTGTAGAACTGGCAGTTAGGATCCACATTACAGGTCCTCTGACAAGAGACCGCATCGTCCATCAGTTCATAGCGAATGTCACTACCCCGGAAATCGACTCTTTCAAGAGCATTGTTGACCCAGCCTGGTGGCAGAGAGGAACAAGGTCAGACTGCTGGCCTGAACCACAGAAACACTTCACCATCAATAGACTGAAAGGAGAGACGGATGAAGGGGCTGAATGATTTCAGTTGTTGTAAAAGATCGGTTGATAACCGGATCTAAAATAGTTCATAGCTTATCTATACATACGGTATTCGAGGAGATTTATTCTATGTCATTTATGTTGATTATCTCTCGAAAATAATCAATTCAATTCACCATTCAGTGAATATTGTCTTTTTATCATGGAAACAAAGCGTGACATGTTTGGCTTTGAGAGTTTGAGAGTAATGAATGGAAAGAGCAATGAGTAATGAATAATGAATTTAAAAGGACCATGACTAGTCAACTGAAGTGTGTCCTCTCAGATAGTGTCAATGTTGATTGATAATACATACTGTTGTCTGGCTGACAGAAGCGTGCCGGTAGTCCAGATGTGATTCGATCTTTTGCTGTGAGAATCAGTGCATCGTCGTTTACCTTCAGGTAACAATTGAAGTTGTCACTGCAACAAACAGAATAGTTAGGATTAAAAAGAGACCTTGAAGGAAAATGTCTATATTTTGAGATTTGAGAACAGATCTGACTGAAATAGATGAGATTGTCTTATTAGAAAAAACTGTTTGAGTACCTGACAAAAGAGAAGGCGGTGCAGACTGAGTGAGCAGAGCACAGGTTCTGACAGTGTCCAGGGGAGGCAGCAGGAAGATCCAGAATGTCATTTCCTGGGATGTTGGTGTTTGGAAAAAGCTTTCCCTGACATGCTGGACAAAACATTGGAAACACATTAGAAGAACATCCACTGCATCTGCAGACTTTATTCTGAATGCTTTTGCTATGATTGTTTTTGTACCTGGTTTACCCTCTTGAAATGTTTCTACTTTGTTGGAGAATCCAGACACTAAACCAGCTGTTCTTTCAACAACTGGAAGTGTTGCCACTGGCCAGCTGAATTTAAGGTGGCACTTGTACCTAAAACCACAAAATTATTTGCATATTCAGGTAATTGAGGGGCCTATGTCATCACCCTAGTGTTGCAAGAGCAAAGCTTCCTCCTTGTTGTCTGAATTAATCCAACTGTGTACAACAATTAGCCAATACAGATACAAAACGGATACATTCAATTTCACCACTTGTGTGACATCTGTGAATTTACGTTTACCTGTAAACGTCTGGTGTGAAGTCTTCATTTAGAAAAGTGAAAAACTGACAGGCAGGGTCCTGTGTGCAGGCTCTCCGACACTCCTCAGCATCTTCTGTGAACAAGGCTTTGTAGTCAGCACCTGGGAAGTCCACGCCATTGTACAGCTGAGGCAGACAAGGCTCTGGCAGACGGAGAGAGAGAAGGAGAGTGTGGTCATGGATCAATAGTTAACATTGTATGCAGAGTTACTTTTAAATTCAATAGTTATAGATTACTAGTTAACCTGTGAACTTGATTCAGGTTCTAACACGCTATAACCTGTTACTCAAGTTAAGATTCCACACAAGTTTTTTTTGTGTTATCCTTTATAAATAAAATTACACTTTTATGTATTTGTTTTACATAACCCTGTTACTTCAATATTTAACGTATTTGCAAATTAACTAAAAGTCTGCATAACAGTTCTAAATAATTGTGAGTCTACTTGAATCTGGGCTGCAGGGTTTGAGAGAATATCCAGAGGTGATCCCCTCCACCGGATTCTGCACATCGGGTTCTCCAGAAGAAGTAGTCTTGAGGTAGCAGTAGAAGTTCCTGCAGAGAAAAGCAGAAGTTTTGTGTTTGTGTGTCTTTGACTTCATCTGTGTAAAGAATTTAGTGGCATCTAGTGGTGGGGTTGCATATTCAAACCAACTGCTCACTCCTCAGCACCCCCTACATTTCCAAAATGTGCATGATCTCAGTTACAGTAATCAACAAAGATGAAAGGTAAATATATATATAAAAATAAATCTAATTTTCGGCTGCAAACATTTTTTAATTCTTTTTACTACTAGTGGTAGTGCTTAATTAAAATAACATTTTAATAAATTTCTTGCGACACTATGTTATAGAGGTGCATTTTCTGAGTCCAAAATGTATTTTAACCCTTCTGTTTTATGAAAACAATTGCTGCTTGTTCTGTACCTGTCGTCCCGGGTCCACTCAGCACGAAGAAAGGAAAAGAAGAGACAGGCCGGGTGCTGGGTGCAAAGTTGCTGACAGTGATTGACATCGGGAGAGAAGACAAATTGGATGTCTGATCCAGGGAAATCTACATCCTCCAGAAGCTGTTGTCTACATGCTAAAAAAAATGGAATACAGAAATAAACTCATACAGTACATCCTACTACATACAAGTTGTGATATTGTATTACCTTGACTAAGGGAGAGGCTGAAGACAGATAGCAGAACCCCTAAAATCCAATGTGCTTCCATCTTCGGTTCAGACTTTAGTGAGGATTCTTCAAAAACAGCTATTTATACTTCAATTTGAGAGGACGGCACACACACACACACACACACACACACACACACACACACAGACTTTGACCTCAGGTTTGTCAACAGTAAAGTCCAGATTGTCATAGCTGGCTCAAGCTATGCCAAACATCAGGAGCAGGAGACGGTGTATGAGATTAAAGAATATATGTTTATTAAATATATAGAGAGCTTAGGAGACACCGGGCCCAGGTGCTCTCCATTAGCCATCAGGACAATGTCCCACCCAGGCTCACCTATAGGGCAACAGTTAGTCTGAGTAGAGGATCGTGTGTCTACCCATGTGTGGGCATCACAAGAAATAAAATCAATATATGCAAAACAATGTGGCAACTATTTGGTTTTAGTCCGCAATGCTATTCCGAATATTTTCAGGTTGAGGTTGTTTTTGCTGGCATGGTGAATCCGGTCATTGCTTCATAGTGACGTTCTTTTAGAACACAGTTTTGACTTTAGCAGCCTCAATTTAAGAAAATATTTTAGTATTAGTTTTTATTAAGTGGGGCTAAAACATTGCTTGTCCCCTAGAATGATAATGGTTTAATGTGCTTTACTCCCATCATGAATGACTAAACAGGTTATTAAGGTACTGATGGTGAAGAAGAAAGACCAGATCACCCTTATTTTTGAGAGGGACACAATTAGAATAAATTAAAATATGTTACAACGGAACCCTACAGTGACTACAATGACTTTGAAATTAAATCAAACGCATGGAAAGACAAAATTTATTTTTGTTAAGAGCACAAAAATCTAGAGTTACAGCCACGTAATTTATTTTCTTCAATGTAATAACCACAGCAAATGCATATAAAAAGTGCTAGAATCATGCAATTCAAGGAGAGGGTACAGATCGTATGTAGTTCTTGTGTGTCAGACGAAGCAGGTTTGAATCTCAGATGTCTTTCAGCTTTCCTGTTTCGTCTGGGGTCTCCAGCCAGGTAGGAGGCCAGCTGGTTTTGATGCTGGGTCTTTCCTTCAGGGAGTTATAGTAAGCTGCCAGTTTAGGGTAACGATCTTCAGATAACCTAAAGAAGGGAAAATTATTTGTGAACTTAGTTACAAATGTATTTTGTCAATAGTTTCATTGATTTAAATCAATCCTCTTGAGACATTTTCTCTGATTTAATCCACGTACTGAAAACGGTAGAGATAAGCAATGCTCGGGTAAACAGCCACATCAGCCAGTGAAAAGGTCTTTCCTGCAAGGAAAGGGCCCGGTCCCTAGAAGACAGACAGTTAGCACATTAGATTTTCCACAAAGTAAAAAAAATTTAAAAGCCCAAACTTGTAGAACATACATCCAAAGCAGTGCAGAAAACCAGTTATTTCTAGCTTGTGTCGTGGTTCAGGTTTACCTTGCTCAGGTATCCCTCCCACAGCTTGATCTCAGCAGTCAGAGCCTCCCGGTTTCTCTTCACAGCACTGTCATGTCTCTCTCCCTCAGGGACCTTCCACTCGTAGTAGATAACATCCGCTGTGCAAAATGGGAGTCTGTCATGACGGCTACTATCAGAACAAATCTACCATCACAACAGGCTCTTAAAACTACACCCACATTTGGGCTTGGACAAACTGCTTTTATGGTCCTGGCATTTAAGCACGCGGGTCATTTAAGAAGAGTTCATGCAACACATCCGTTTGAACTGGAGACAGAAGCTTAAATAAATTTTGAAGTTAAGAAAATAGCAGATTAACTATTTACATTTATGTTTAAGTTGATCGTGATGATTTGGGAATGTAGCACTGTAGCTAGTCTGCATATGTATTCCTTTGTGAGATTACAATGACCCAACTACCTCTTTTAAGGGGGTGAACCTTGTGGACTTAATCTTAATGCATGGTCGCATGACTCTGAATGCACAGCTCTTTAGTGTACGGCGTGTGTCTCAGGTCCCTCTGAGGGCGTCGACTGACGACACAAAGTCTCAGAGGATTCGTTAAACAAGGCGGCTCTGCGTGTGGTGCGTTGCCAAGAGCAATGTAGTTCAAAGTCCCACAAGGCCTCTGAGAGACAACAGCATCAGCCAGGTCATTGAGTTCAACTGGGATCCACTGTAACAACACTGGTTTCTGAAAATATGAGAAATACTTTGCATGTCAGAGGTAACGTACCCATTTTCTGGTTGAGCGCGAGACCCTCAAACATGCGCTGGTACATCATTGCTTGTTCAGCTGGGCATTCGGGGACCAGTTTGTCTCCCTGTCCCCCAAACTGGTTCTGTTTTGAGACAAGAAAGGAGGAAACATTATGAACAGCTGCAGGTTGCTCCGGTTTCTTTTCCCCTGGAAGTGCAGGGTGTCCGATGTCTACGAGCCGTTGTTCACAATGAGCCCTGCTTATTACTTCCATGGTGCTACACGGCTGCATACAAGTTTTATAGGGGAACAAGTTCTTACCTCCAGGTACAAGCACGCAGCGTAAGACTCATTCAGGACATAGTCTTTATGTTTAAAGGCAGGGAGCTGTGAGGAAGAGAGTGGAATATGAATGCCAGGTAACATAAAATGATGCCACAGAAGAAAAAAGCATTTTTAGACTACAAGAAGATTTGCTTTTATATCTGGGCAAGGCAATAATTTACCTGTCCCCTGGGATTCATGTCCATGACCTGTTTGGACTTATGCTCTCCCTTCATGAAGGAGAGCAGTTTTTGGTTGTAGCCCTGCAGCTTCTTCTCCTCCAGTGTGATCTGGATCCTCCAGCAGGGAGGAGAGCCGGAGCCCCACAGCAGAGTCATGTCCTTGGCCATGGTTGGAGAGTGAGGTGCTGCACCTGAGGGTGGAAGCCTGGAGTCGTGAGAGGTGGAAGAGGTAAAAAGTGAGGCTACAATGTGTGAAATGTCTGATTATATAAGACGCTCCCTTCGCTTCGCATCCTGATTGGTGGAATTAAGCCCCATCCCATATCTTTCTTTTGCCAAAGATATGTAACTCAAGACAGTCAAGCTAGTTCCCACCCTACCCAAACACGTACAAACGGTTAGTTCTTTAAGGTGTCTTCAAATTAATGCAAAATTACGTTATATTGAGAGTCAGCGTAGTTCTGTTAAATTAGCAAACCAATTCAATCTGAATCATGCATCCAACTGCAAAGATCCACAGGGTTGAGTACCGTCACACTTGGTCAGGAGAAACTTCTCTTGCTTTGCATTTACTCTTTGATATCAGCAGACAACGGAATGTGAGATAACGCACACAAACAAAAACACACGAATCTGACGCTAAAATATATGTATTTAAAGCGAACTGAAGGACATTTACCAAACAATTACACCTATAACCTCTATTTGTCATCAACAATCAGCCAATTTACTGGAGTTCGAAATTCACACTAAAACGTGTTTTTTCAATGACATCATGACAAAGATAACATACCGTGGATAACGTGGATAAAGTAAATTGTATCTTGGTGCACTGCTTATGTTTATAACTATCATTGCGGGGATTTACTTTACTATTTCTTGTCGCGTGCTTGCAAACTCACAGTGACTCAGCAGTTTTCACTCACCGCTGCACACACCGAGAAAACCATCTCTGGCAATTAAAGTAAATACTCAAGTTGCTACTGAATGCAATAGACTCCACTCATTTATCATTATATAAGCGTGACATTAATACAATGAAAACAAGCATTTTACATTGCTTCCATTCATATGTTGTTTCTTTCATTCTAAAGTTTGCTAAGGGACGTTGTGATGTCATTGCGTGATGACCTAATTACGTAAAAACGTAAAAATGCGTCTTTACGTAGGGTCACTCAAACTGACTGTCCACCTCGGCCAAAAATATGATTTGACATGTGTTAGTTTAGATTTGTCTGTTCATTATCACATAGTTTTATATGTAGATGTTATATAAACATATTTTATATGATTAGATATTTTTATACACAACATATTGAGTTATTGAAGGATTGCACGTTAGAAATCATCAAATATTACATTTCTTCGCTTATTAACTAGTAAACCTACACATTCTGAACAATTATAGCTTTAAGCACTCTATTTGTAGTTAGTTAACATGCTAGCAAACTGATCAAAAATTACAGGTATAAGCTAATAATAAGGTATACAGTATATGCTATTTCATTGAACAACTCAAATACTGATGTGTGCACTAGGCATCTCTCTCCAGCTGTCTCCGGGCTGTTGTGCAGCCGACTGCTGCCTGTGCACGAGCTGAGAGCCTGCTGTCACTCACAATGCACTTTTGCAGCTTTTTGTGTCATTTAGAGGGAAAATGCATGCATTTTAGCATTTGAGTCACGTCCAGACTAATTTCAAAGGGCGCATGCGCAAAGCCGCCGCTGATTCTGCACTGCAGCGTCTTTCCTCGTTAAGGAATTGGCAACACTGGTTCAAAACAGAGAGAACTCTGTTCGGGAGTTTCCAATCGTTACTAATAACTAATAAATACCAGCCGGAACCCAATAAGTTTGATCGATCTGGGACTCGGAAATACACATGGTTGACCTCAAATAGGTTTTGAATCAACTTCAAAGCAGAAAAGCTTCTCTCACCAGAGGCAACAGAGACAGGAAGAGATGCAATGGAATGAGTAGATTACTGTACAGATCCAGGTTATCACTGTAAATGTAATTTAACATCTCATTTGGGCAGGTGGAGGCGTGGTGTGGAAAAGTGTAGACAGCAGAATTGATCTCCAATTCTAAATCATCCGCCTCAGACCGGTTTTGGCGATATACAAAGTGCAGCAGGTCTACGGTGTCATCTTCTTGATGTGGGTCATGACTATCCTCTTAAAACACCTCATCACCATTGGGGTGAGTACAACATGACCAGTCATTCAGGCAGGTTACAATATTTCCCTTAGAGTGGGGCACAATGGTGGTCAAATTGAAGCAGGTGGGCCCATGTGAGCGACAAGTTGTAAATGTCAGCGAGCACATCTACCAGCTCTGATTCAATTGGATGAATTGAAAGACTACATTCAAATATGTTGTCATGGAAACCTAGAGTGACTACGATGACTTTGAAATGAAATCAAACACGTGGAAAGCCAAAGTTTATTTTTGCTTAGAGCACAAAAAGGATCATGAGTTTAAACCACACAATTTATTTTCTGAAATGTAATAACCACAACAAATTCATATAAAAAGTAGAGCCAGCTAGAATCATGCAATGCAAGGAGAGGGTACAGATCGTATACCGTTCTCGTGTGTCAGACGAAGCAGCTTTGAATCTCAGACGTCTTTCATCTTGCCCGATTCCTCTGGGGTCTCCAGCCAGGTAGGAGGCCAGCTGGTTTTGATGCTGGGTCTTTCCTTCAGGGAGTTATAGTAGGCTGCCAGTTTAGGGTAACGATCTTCAGATAACCTAAAGAAGGGAAAATTATTTGTGAACTTAGTTGCAAATGCAATTTGTTTTGGTAAATTGTTCTCTCCTCTTGAGATATTTTCTCTGATTTAATCCACGTACTGAAAACGGAAGAGATAAGCGATGCTCGGGAAAACAGCCACATCAGTCAGTGAAAAGGTCTTTCCTGCAAGGAAAGGGTGCAGTCCCTAAAAGACAGACAGTTATATCACATTACATTTTTGGGGGAAAAAAAGCTAAAAGTGGTACAACAGACATTCGAACCGATGCAGAAAATCCTTAATTTCTAGCTTGTGTCGTGGTTCAGGTTTACCTTGCTCAGGTATTCCTCCCACAGCTTGATCTCAGCAGTCAGAGCCTCTTTGTTTCTCTTCACAGCACTGTCATGTCTCTCTCCCTCAGGGACAAGCCAGTCATAGTAGATATAATCCGCTGTGCAAAAAGGCAGTCAGTCATGACGGCTACTATCAGAACAAATCTACCATCACAATCGAGTCTTATACGCGCACATTTGGGCTTGGACCAACTGCTTTCATTGTTCTGGCATTTGAGCATAGGGGGTCATTTAACAAGAGTTCATGCAACATATCCGTTTGATATGAAGACAGTAGCTCAAATAAAGTTTGAAGCCGCCCGTTCAGAAAATAGCATATTAACTACTTACGTTTAAGTCTGGGTATGTAGCACTTTAGCTTGTCTGAAAATAAATTACTTTGAGGGATTACAATGACCTGACTACCTCTTTTAAGGGGGTGAAACTTGTTGAATTAATCATAATGAATGGTTGTATGGCTCAGTGAATGCACAGCTCATTAGTGTACGGCGTGTGTCTCAGGTCCCTCTGAGGGCGTCGACTGACCACATGAAGTCTTAAAAGTTTAAACAAGGCGGCTCTGCGTGTGGTGCGTTACCAAGAGCAATGTAGTTCAAAGTCCCACAAGGCCTCTGAGAGACAACAGCATCAGCCAGGTCATTGAGTTCAACCAGGATCCACTGTAACAACACTGGTTTCTGAAAATATGAGAAATACTTTGCATGTCAGAGGTAACGTACCCATTTTCTGGACTTAATCATAATGCATGGTTGCATGGCTCAATTAGGTGGATTCACAGCTCATTAGTGTACGGCGTGTGTCTCAGGTCCCTCTGAGGACATAGATACCAAGTCTCAGAAGATTCGCTAAACAAGGCGGCTCGGTGCATTACCAAGAGCAATGTAGTTCAAAGTCCCACAAGGCCACTGAGAGACAACAGCATCAGCTGAGTCATTGAGTTTAACTAGGATTCACTGTAAAAACACTTCATTCTGAAAATATCAGTAAAATAACGCACACATTATCTGGTTGACTGCAACACACACAGCCAGTTTAACTTGGATCCACGGAAAACATCAGTAAAATACTTTGCATGTCAGAGGTAACGTACCCATTTTCTGGTTGAGCGCGAGACCCTCAAACATGCGCTGGTACATCATTGCTTGTTCAGCTGGGCATTCAGGGACTAGTTTGTCTCCCTGTCCCCCAAACTGGTTCTGTTGTTTGGAGACAAGAAAGGAGGAACCATTATGAACAGCTGCAGGTTGCTCCGGTTTCTTTTCCCCTGGAAGTGCAGGGTGTCCGATGTCTACGAGCCGTTGTTCACAATGAGCCCTGCTTATTACTTCCATGGTGCTACACGGCTGCATACAAGTTTTATAGGGGAACGAGTTCTTACCTCCAGGTACAAGCACGCAGCGTAAGAGTCATTCAGGACATAGTCTTTATGTTTAAAGGCAGGGAGCTGTGAGGAAGAGAGTGGAATATGAATGTCAGGTAACATAAAATGATGCCACAGAAGAAAAAAGCATTTTTAGACTACAAGAAGATTTGCTTTTATATCTGGGCAAGGCAATAATTTACCTGTCCCCTGGGATTCATGTCCATGACCTGTTTGGACTTATGCTCTCCCTTCATGAAGGAGAGCAGTTTTTGGTTGTAGCCCTGCAGCTTCTTCTCCTCCAGTGTGATCTGGATCCTCCAGCAGGGAGGAGAGCCGGAGCCCCACAGCAGAGTCATGTCCTTGGCCATGGTTGGAGAGTGATGTGCTTCACCTGAGGGTGGAAGCCTGGAGTTGTGAGAGGTGGAAGAGGTAAGAAGTGAGGCTACAATGTGTGAAATGTCTGATTACATAAGACGCGCCTTCGCACCCTAATTGGTGGAATTAAGCCCCATCCCATTTCTTTTGTTTTTAGACATGTAACTCAAGAGTCAAGGTAGTTCCCACCCTATTCAAACACCTATTCTACCCTCTACGTAGAATACACAATAACGTTACCCAATGATCCACTGTTTTTTATTTGCAGACTTTTTCCGTAGTGGGGGGGACGCACCCCTGTTATAATGATAGTAAACAATGAACTGGCAGCGGTTGGTTATCCAAACATTGGCCAAATGACCCGCTTCGGGCTTTATACGAAAATACAGAATCCCTTTGTGTTCATT